CAAGTTAGAGCGTAAAGACTCGGGTGCCCCCACACGAAGGACAGGCTAGAGCGTAAAGACTCGAGTACCCCGCTCCACTTGAGAAAAGAACACTGGTCTGTGGGTTTGTGGCTCCCGGGCCTTCGAATGGAAAACATGGTGCCTCCAGTGCCCTCCCACTTCTTGGACCCTGCCTGTACCTGTATCCCCAGCCTTGGTCCCTGCCTGACTCCGAACGGAAACCTGATCCCTCCGCAACACTGCCTTCGACCTTCCACTCAACCCTGACACCTTTTAAAGGAGCTGGTGCCCCCCTTCTGTTTTGTAAGAGAACACGAGCGTGCGAAGTGGTTCACCACAGAAAGGTGGGTTCTACGCTGGCAGGTCGGCAACCTCCGGACTGGCAAGGGGTGCACTTCACGCGAGTGGTGCTGCCTCGCGCTCTGACTCTCTCTCTCTCTCTCTCTCTCTCTGTCCACTTTTTGCAACCATGTCGGCAGGCTTCCCCAGTACTCAGAAAGAATGCAGTATGGATGAGGCAAGAAGGCTCCCCGCCTTGCCGGTCATGCTTGCCTCTGTGCTAGCTGTCCGTGGGTGTTCCACGAAGACGAGCTGTTTGCGGTTAGAGATGGGTCCCCTGACTGCACAAGTTAATAGTGCACCAAAATCACAACGGGAACACTACACCAAGTTACAGTAATCATCGGGCCCCTTCGGTTTCTGCCGCCCACGTGCGACTTATCAGCTCGATCAGTGCTAGTTTGTGGAAGTATGCTGCTAGCAGTGCGGTTCCCCACGGATCAGGAAGCAAGGGGCCGAGGTAAACGCCAACTCAGTAGGGGGGACTTCACACTTGAGCGGGTCCCCGCACTGCTGGTGTGGTGGTGCTGTGGCAGGCCAGTGCCCGTGGGTCAGGAGCCAAGAAGGGGAGGGCTTAAAAGGCAAGTAAGGGAACGTCACGCACAAAGGCCCGGAATCCCCTGTAGGCATGGTGTCTCTCCTCGCCAAGGCTATGGTGTAGGGGCGTTACCCCTACACCGCGCGCTCAAGCGCCCCCGACTGTTGCGGAGGAGAGTTGAGGTGACATGTAAACCACGGCACTCGGGCGTGTAAAGGCACCAAGAGCTGCCCTCAGCAACTGGAATCCGACTGAAGGAAAAGCCCCAGCATAAAATTTAAGAAGAACATAGATCGTCAGACACGCTCCAGCATACGATTTTAGGAGAACAGAGATCGTCAGACGGATTCTTTCCAGAGCTGTTGAATCAAAGATGTTCTGAGGGAAGTTGTGGTTCACTGACAAGTGTGGCCAGGTTACAACTGGAAAATTCTAACAGGAATCAGCGTCCAATAGAAGGATAGCAGTGGGGGTCAGAAGTTATTGTCCAAAGGACTTGCAGTGTAACCTGTGATTACAGGGGACGTCTCCCCGCATGGTACACAGGGAAAGCCCATGGCCCCATGTACAGATGTGTCAGGCAGCACGGTAACACTCAAAAGGACACTCACTAATATAGGCAATACAAAGGCGGCTGACAGTCCGATCTGAAAGCTTGTCCTCTGCTCTGACCTCTTTTAAAGGCAAAGCGTATTTCGCACGGACGAGCCTACTCTTCTTCGGCATGGTATCACGAGGGTTGGTGTCTCTCGCTCTCTCTTTCTTTCTGCCGGGCTTAGGGGGCACTGTCGTGACCCTCAGGCTTTCAGCCCGCCCGTCCACCCCCTGTTTTATTGAGTGGACGGCTTTGGGGTGCCACTGACCGCTGTACTTGCTACTGAGTGTGTTTCGGATTTTTGAGCTGCGACCCCCATCCCCGAACACTAGATCACCCCCAACATGCCTCTTCACCGCGCCCCTGTGGCTGGCCGCTATGAGGTGTACAGCTCAGCAACCAGAAACATGCCCATGCATTTGCACTTGGAGCTTGCCCCCTTGTACCCTCACAACGAACATAACCCTCAATACCTGGCATGTTACTCTGGCTCCACGTGCCGCGCATTGTGGCCGGTCTGAAAAGTGAAAAACGGAACGCAGCTGCGGCTTGCCCCCCTAGTTGCTACACCCCCGTAGTGCTCTCTCTTTCTTTCTTTCTGCTGGGTAGTGCTCTTCTTCAGCACAGTCAGAGAGGCAACATGCGCAGTCCATGCTGCCCCTCGCGCGTTATCGCGCACTGGGACAGGTACAGGCAAAACAAAGCTTCCGAGATTTTTTGTGGATCAACGCACAGGCCCCCCGACCACAAGCCCCGCAACACTAAACCCCAACCCGCCTCGAAGGCTAAGGGGCAAACCCCCCTACAGCATGTGCTGATCCCCCATCTCAAGCTCAGCTCCCGACTGTCGCTGCCCCGTGTTGGGGCGCCCCACACGTCACTTCACTGCAAACACTTGACCCCCTCCAGTGAAGCAGCCGCTGCAGACAAACAGGCACAACATGCGACTACTGCTATCACTGGTGTGTGTGCGACTGTCCGGAGAGAAAGGAGGAAAATAACTCAACAGCTCTGTACACTGAGGCCCTGGCATCACCTACTTGTAAAGTGCTCAAAACACCCATGCTGCAGAGACTACAGTGGCCCCCCAACTCTCTCTCTCTCTTGCTTGCTTGCTTGCGAAGCGTGTGGAGGGTAGGGAAGGCCCCTACTCCCCCTGCGCGCGAGCGCTACGCCACTGTTCGTGTCTTGAGTGAGACGTGGTGACGCAGTTTGGCCAGGGGATCCCCAACTCGACACTTACAAGTCACTTAATGCAAATCATGTAGCCCCCGCCTGGCCAAGCTCGCGTGCTGGGTTTCCGTAGGTTTTCTACGGTGTGTCTGTTTGTGTCCCCGAGTTAACAGTCAAGCAGGTATCGAAATCATCATAGCAACTACAGCAAGTGCTCTAGTGCTGCAGTGTAGAACGCCTTGAGCTCGGGACACGGTTGAAACTCTCTCAGTCAGTGTGGTGCTGGTTTGGTGGATCCTATGTTGTTTGTGGCAGTGCGGGTCCCGTAGGGAAGCAGCGTAAGGGGAAGCACGGGCAACACTCTAGGGGGTTTGTTTCACACACTGGGTCCCCGCACTGTTGGAGATGGTGGCGCTGTGGCGAGGCTCCGGAGCAGTAGGGGTCAGGAATCACAAGGGACGAGGTAAAACACAGTAGGGGAACATCATTTTCTGTCCCGGAGCCCCGGAGGTGGTTGCTGGTGGATGTGTTCGTAGAACTAGTCGTAGGTCCCCTTTGGCACAGGTTTCATATAAAAAGCACCATGACTGCAAACCACTCTTGAAAGGTTCTAGCATTGACCTGGCCCTGGGGCGTGCCCGCTTTTAGTGCGGGTCGAAGGCTGCGTGCATCCTCCGTCTACGGTGTGTCCCCATGGTTTCCGGGTTCACCTCATGGTCCCCGCTCACGCGTTCTTGGTGGTGGGAGCTTCGCCGGAATCGTGCCGAGGGCGGCGAAGGCGAAATCCCCGTCATCGTGCGGCGGCGCCGCTGCATGCCCCACGCTTCGTCTTCAGTGTCTGTGCTGGGGACATCGTTCACGTTCCACCCTTCGAAGGCTTGTTGTCTGAGGGTCGTCATGGACCGCCTTCGTTCGTCCCCGTGCAGCTCACGGGATGTTCCCGAGATGCCCCCCGCAGGTCTCCACAGTGTCTCGTCCGGGATGGGGCCGCTGGCTGCTGGAGGTGGGTCCCATAGGATGGTCTCGGCCTCCTCCGGCACCAGTTGGATCGGCTCCTGCCACAACGCCGTGGTCCACTGTTGTAGGAGTTGAAGTGCCTCTGAACCCAGCGGGACCTGGTCCCCGATCAGGGTTGGTAGCAGTTGCTGTAGAAGCTGCTGTGCACGCAAGATCATGTAAGGGGCGGCGTCGGTGCCCGCGCTTACTGCTGCTGCTGTGGGCTCTCTTGGGTCCCCTTGGGTGAGCCGTGGCTTTTTGTGTGCCGGCTGCTCATTGGTAGGCGTGCTGTCACCCGCATCATGTGGCGGTCGCGATAGGAGGGGTTGGTTGGGGGAGGTTGCCGTTGCGTGCAGAGGCACCGTTGTTCCTCCTTTGGTCCCCGTGTGTGTGTGAGCAGAGGTGCTGGCTGCTGCTGTATCGCTGTGGGTGCCGATGTCGTTGGTGGCGGTGGGGAAGTGGTGTTCACTGGCAGGTTGTGTTGTCTCTCCACTGTCTGCTTGTGTTGGTGTAGGTTGGGGGTGGGTGGCGGGCGGGTGATTGGGTTCCGCTGCTGCAGCCTCGACGGCTAAGATGGCACGCATCATCTCTTCCTGCGTTTCTTCACTTGGTAAGAGCCAGGCGGGTCCCCTAGGTGGTGGATGTGCAGCAGGTGACGTACTGCAGTCTGGGTTGTTCCTAGGCCCCCTGTGCTCGGGTCGACTGGAGCCTGCGGCAGCTGTTGCTGGATCCAAGGGTAGGAACAGATCGCGCAGGTGACGGATGTTGTGGTACTGTGGCGGTTGTGGTTGTGGTTGCTCCTGGGTATTCTCTGCGGTTTGCTGGGGCCCAGGTGAGGCGTTGCTCTGGAGCTGTAGGTTGGTCTGCACAAAAGCTGCTGCCAGGTGGTGGTGAGTCAGCTGCTGGGTGCGTGATGGCAGCCGGTTGCGCTTGGGTGGCTGCTGTGGTCCCCGTTCCGGGTGAGCCGTAGTGTCTGTGTCCTGGTCGAGGTGTGGACCATTGCTGCCTGGTCTAGGGTTTGCGCGGTGGTTGTGGTGGTTGTGGTACTGTGGTGGTTGTGGTTGTGGTTGCTCGTGGTGCCAGGGCTGTGGTGGGGTCCCTGCTGGGTGCCGTGGTGTTGGGGTTGCTGATGCTTGCAGGAGCTCCGTTCTGTCGTCCTCTGCCGGGGGTACTTCCATGGGGGTAGGACCGGGTAGGAATTTGAAGGACACCCCGGAAGGAGAGGTCCCCTGCAGTTCTCTCAACCAGGGTCCAGTCGTCTTGATCCCATACTATGAGGAAACTGTCTCCTCGTCGTATGTCGATGCTGTCTGGTAGGGGTTGCTCCAGGCCTGGTATGCGCGCCGGCCCCTCGTCTACTTAGGCCTTTGGTAGCAGGGATGTCGTCAGGTCCCACTTCTGGTGGGCACAGCTTGCATAGTCCCCGAGCGGGGTTGCAAGCATGGACACACCCTCCGGCAGGAAGAGGTCGTGGCCAGCAGTGTTGGTTGGATCGAGAAGGACTTGTGGATATGTCCCTTGCGCTACAAAGGGGCGGCCCCCTGGAGAGGTCAGTATGACCCGCATATCCCAGCGCCCGTTTCCCCGATAGAGGCACACCAAGTTATTGTTTCGTCTCAGTGGGAACGTTGGGGGGAGGGTGGGAGGGGTGCCATTCTCCAGCCACGTCACAAGCGCCTTGTGGGGTCTGAGGTGGAGGCGCTGACGGTACTGCCTGGGTCGTCGGGGGTCCCCCGGTTGTGTGCGGTTCGCGGCCGCTTGCTGCGGGCGGGGCCTTGGGTCGTGGCCAGTGGCCTGTGTACTTGCTGTGTGGGAGAGGGTAGGCTCCGCAAGTCCCCTGGCTTCCGCGTCCGCCCGGGCTGCTGTGCCTTGCTTGCTTCGAGGGTCCTCGCTGTGGTGTGGGGGCATGTTGTAGTCGTAGTCTTCTGTTGCTCCCGCTGCGGTGGCTGTGGATGCGGGCGGTGGTTCGTGTGGTTGCGAGGTGTCCTGGAGAGTAGCTGCTGCAGTGGTGTCGGTATTGGCCGGGCTCGGGTGTTGGTTGGGGTCCAGCAGGGGGTTTTGGGTGGCGCTCTGTGGTGTCGCCGTGGGGGTCTGTTGGCTGCTGGTGGCTTGCCCTGCTGGGTGGGTCCCTCCTTGCTGGGGCAGGGCTCCGATGGGCAGGAGGTGGCGGTTGAGCAGCTCTGCCCAGTTGGTTTCTTCCTCCTGTGGCCTGGCTTGGGACCGCTGGCCAGGCGGATACAGCCACTTTTCTGCCTCTTTCCACGTGAGGTGCTCTGGTTTCACCCATCCCCTTTGCTGAAAAGCGGCCTGCACGGCCGATTTGTGTTCTTTGTTGCGGGTCCTCTGTTCTCCAGGCCACCTGTTGTGCTTCTCCGCTCTGCCCGTTGGAGGTTGCGGGGTCCCCTCGGGGTCTGTGTGAGCCCCGGAGCTGGCTGCAGCGGATGCTGGGGGCGTGTTCCGTGGCTCGTGGTCTGGATCGTTGGAATCGGCTGTGGTTGGGTGTGGGGTGGATGGGTCCCTGCCGTTGTTGGGGACTCGGCGGACTGCCCTGTGGTGGCGGGTCCTTCGGTCGGTCCTTGGACGACGCCATGCTGGGCTGCGGCTGCTCTGGCTTTGCTTGGTCGGTCCCCTCTGGCTGCTGTGGCTGTGGGTGGTCAGGAAGCTGTTGTGGTGGCGTCCTGGTCTCATCGGCCTGGTGTGGTGGCTGCGACGCACTTGCCGTCCTTGGCTGTGGTGGGGGGCTCCGTCCTCGTTGGGCCTCGGCTGGCTGCCCGATTGACTGCTGTTGCGGGCGCGGCTGCGCTGGTGGTGGCTCGTGTGGTGTTTGAGGAGGGGGTGACTGTTGTTGTGGTGGCGGTTGCTGTGGGTGCCGCTGTGTTGGCGGTGATTCGTGTGGTGGTTGCGGTGGAAGTGGTGGTTGTTGCTGTGGCGTCTGCTGCGGCGGTACTTGCCACCCCAATTGTCGGCCCGAGCGGCGGGCTCTGCTGCTTACATCGGTGATGACTGGTCCATGCGGCCTGGTTTGTTGGGGGGGCAGCTGCGATGGGGGTGGCTGGGCCGCATTCTGGAGGGGTTGGTTCGGAAGGCGGGTACGGGCAGACATGGTCCCATTGTGAGCCATTCTGCGATGGGCCGGCCTCGTGGCTGGGGGCCTCCTGGGTGGGTTGTTCGGGTCTGCTTGCTGGGCCCCCGGCTGCAGAGGGGGATCCTGGTCATCTGCCTCTTCTGCTGGCTCTTCCTGTTCGTCTTGTGCTTCTGCCTCCTGCTGTGGTGGTTGTGGTGGTTCCGGCTGTTGCCGTGATGGTGGTAAGTCCGGTGTCACCGTGGGTGGGACGGACACATCTGTGGAGCTGATGGCGCCCGTAGACAGGACTGGGTCGCCGTCCAGTTGGTTCAGGGTGGCTCGCAGTTGCGACCATAGGTCCTCCGTTGGTGGGTCGACGGTCTGGGCCGGTGGAGTGTGGCTAGCAGCTTGCTGGCGGTGGTTGTTTCGTGGCAGGGGTCTTGGTGGCATGCTTGCCTTGGCTGGGTTGCTGTCCGGCTGGCCGCTGGGGTGGCTCTTTAGCAGGGGCCTTGGAACTGGTCGGTGGGGTCTGCTGATGCGGGCTAAGAGGTGGCGCCTTGTATGTTGCCGGCTCCAGCGCGGGGGGCATGATGGGAGGTGACTTCTGGGTCGCTTTGCCCATGGAGGCGGGGGCAGGGTCCGTAGAGGAGGACGCCGGTTCGTGTGGTGGCGGTGGCCGGTGGCTGTGGAGGTAAGCTTCGAGTTGGTGGTCGTTCCTGTCGTGGTGCTGGCCAGGGTCGGCTGTGAGACTGGCCCAGATGGCTGCTTGTGTGGCTGGTGCCTCGTCCTCCTCGGGGGGGGCGAGTGGGAGCTCCTCGTCGTCTGACTCGAGTGGTTGGCCTGCCGGTGCTGCTGCTTGTGCCTGTGCTTGCTGGGAGTGTGCTGCCGGCGTTGCTGTGCGGTCCGAGTCGTCGGGAGGGGGACGTTCCCCGTGGGTGTTGTCTGTGCCGGGCTGCTCGTGTGTCTGAGGGGGCCATGGCGTGTCCCAGGGATCCGTGGTGGGATCGTAGGGCGGGGCAAACCTGGGTCGGCCAAGGGTCCAGTCCGACCCGCTGCGGCGTTGGGGGTCCTCCGGCATTTGCCTGCGTCGGCTTGGATGTGGAGACGAAGCTGCCGTTGAGGTAGAGGTCGTCGAGGCCATTTCCCACAGGATGGGTCCCCAGTGTTCTGGGTCGCTCACTCCGTTAGCATCCGTAGCGGGAGATGAACTTGCTCCTTCTCCTGCAGAGGTAGGGCTCGCGAAGCTCCTGGTACTTGCGGCTGATCGGGTGCTCGAAGGGGTCCTCGAAGTAGCGCTGATGCCCTCGTCGACGGGTTCAGTCGTGGGCGAACGTGCCGTAGGCGGGCTCCCGGGCTCTGTGGTAGACGTCGTTGTAGATGCTTCCTCTCCACCACTGGTCGTTGGACCGGCTGTCTCCACGGTATCCAGGTCAGGGGTGTGTTCTGAGAGTGCCAGGCTTTCCCTTCCCACCGTTGAGGGCGTGCTCCCGGAGGATCGTGTAACTGGTGGGGTCCCGGTCTCCGTGGTAGAAGACGAGGTAGGCTGTGCCCCATCCGTAGCGGTCGAGCTCGCGAAGCTTCCGGTTCTTGCGGCGGATCGGGTTCTCGAGGAGGGCCTCGGGGTAGTGCTCGGGTCTTCGTCAGTCGGCGGCGCCGGCGTACTTCCGGAGGGTCGTGCTGTCTGCGGGCTCCAGGGCTCCGTGGTAGAGGTCGTCGTAGTCGAGCCCCACTCTGGTGCCCCCGAACTTGCCTGGTCCTGCCACGGCTGACCTGTCCCTTGCGGCTCCCCCGGCAACCTTGCGGGCTGTGCGTTGGGGTCCCCGAGCCTTGTCGTAGCCAGGGCCAGTAAAAACCCCGCTGCGGCCGCCCATGGCATGAGGCGGTACGCGGCTGGCATGTTCACTGCTGAGAGCGTTCTCTTTGCAACTTCGAGGCTGAGCGCTGCTGTGCATGCAAACGGCTTTGCACCAGCGGTCAAGTCCCCGTGTTGCTGCGCAGGTCTGTCGACTGTGTGCATATTTGTATCGGAGAGAGGGAGTAGGAAGCGGAGACGAGAGGGGGAGTATATATAAAGTGAGGCTAGTTGGCATTCTTGGCAGGTCTCCTGCTGCCCCTTCTTCTGCTCGGCTCTTCACGGGCACATGCCCCCGGTGATTGCCAGGAGTGCAGTAGACGGGGGTTGTCCCCGCGATGCTCGTGCTTTCCTTTTGGCAGCCGGTGGCTTGGCTTGCCTGATATTCTGAAGTTTGGCTTGCTTCCCCGTCGCCCATTCAACATCTTGTTGCTCCACAAACGTGTCCAGCATGCGTTGCCAGTGTTCCCTGTCTTGGGCCTGCTGCATCCAGTCGGTCCCCGCGGTCTTAATGACCTTGCGTTCATCATCCAACTGGGAATTGAACTGGTGCGGGTGCCTGGCCCCGACAGTCGGGTGAAGGCGTTGCTGTGCTCGCCACCATCGCTGATTGCGCCACTCGAGGATATCCCTCGTGGGGCTCGGGTGGCGGGCGACGTGCCCGAGAAGTTGCCATCGTACCCGGAGGATGAAAGAACTCCAGCGGCCCCCGCAGCATTTATTACGATAGACTTCCATGCGGGCTTCCCTCAGCGTTCTCTGATGCCACGAAAGCCATTCCTCCTGCGGGCCTCGTTTGCGGCCAATAATTTCTCTGACATAATGATATTGGATGCTATTCGCAGCTTTGAGGATGTAGTCAGATATTGGCCAAGTTTCGCAGGCCCACAACGCCGCGCTCCGGATCAAGGTAATGGACGACCGGAGCCGGTCGTCTAACCGCGCTTCCTTACATGTAAGGATCTTTTTGTTCGCGTGGTAGCTCCGGCGCGCTCTATGCTGCATCTCGCAGACTAGTGCCCCCGGTTGATTAATGAATGTCAGCGGGGAGCCGAGCACAGGCATGACGGAGTCGGGAGCAGCTGCGGGCACTGTTTGGTCCCCGATCACGAAACCTTCAGCATCCCTTTGACTACACATCACCATCGTCTTCTTGGGGTTGATCTCGAGCCCCCGTTGCCGGAACCGCGTCTGCACTGCGTCGAGGCACTTCTGGATCCACGCATGGTGGGAACCCCAGATGTAGGTGTCATCCATAAACGCCCCGATCCCATGCGGCGCTGGCGGGAGTTTGGGGTCTGGGCCTTGTCGGGGCTCTCCCCGGAGATCTTCCACGACTTGATCGATGGCTTCCCCTATTCCCGCTGAGAACAAGGAAGGGGAGTCCGGTGAGCCTTGACGCACGCCGTTCGTCTGGGAAATCGGCACTGTGGTATCCCCGAGTGCCACGCTGAATCCTCTGGCGCCGATAAGCTGCAGCCATGTGCGAGCCTCCCACGGAAGAGAGTCCCCGAGCTTGTTGGCGATGAGGTCCCCGAGGTATACTTGGCTAATGGAGTCAAAAGCCTTGCGAACATCTAGTTTGATGATCCAAAACTTCTCCTGCCATTCGTGGGACTGCTGTGCGAGGCGGCGCAGGGCCAGGATAAGTTCGACAGACTGGCTGCCGGCCTTGCAGAACTGGAGGGCGCCGATCGGTCGTAGTAGGGGCAGGCCCCTTCTGAGGAGGAGCTGGGCCGTGATCTTGAGCAGGATGTTGGACAGCGTGATGGGCCTGGTGTCTGAGAAATCGTCCGGTGCTCTTGTCTTGGGCAGGAGAACCGCAATGCCCTCGTCGAGCCCCGGGGGGAACGTCCCCTTATACAGCACGTCGTTGAAGAACCAGAGCAACCTCGCGAGCCCTCGCCTGGTAAGTGAGATGTAGCGGACGGCTTCATGGCTGATGCGGTCCTCCCCGGTGGCTTTATTGTTGCGCCATTTGGCCATGATCCCCCGAAGGTCGTCTTCCGTGAAGGGGCGCCATGGAGTCGTCTTGCATTTTCTCGCAAGGCTGGCTGTGAGCTCCCGGGACCTCTGTTGGACAATCGTGGGGTCCTCCTTGGCGAAGATGGCCTGGAAGTGCTTGGCCAGTTGATCTCTCCAGTCATCCTTGTCGGTCAAGGCCTCCTCCCACTGCTTGTCCCCTCTGGCCTGGTTCTTGACCTCCCGGTATGCGTACCACGATCGCTCCCCGGCTCGCCTCGCGAGGTCTTGGGCCCACGCCTTGTGCTCCCTCTTGCGGCTGCTGTGGACTTGTTTCCACAGTCGTCTTCGGGTATCACCCGCGGGGGCTCGCTGCGCCTCAGCTCGGAGCTTCTTGAGGTCCCCACTTTCCTTGAAGCGCTCCCCAGGTCTCGGCATGGTAACTGCGAAAGCTGCCTCTTTGAGCCCAGCGTAGATGTCCCCGTGCGGCAGGAGGATGGCGTGGACGTCTTGCTCGGGCATCGGCGGGAAGCGCAATGGTCGGGCTCCCCACGTCGGTGGGTTCCTGGGTGGTTCCCCGGCGGGAAGGCCTGTGGTCCAGAGGACAACTGCTTCGTGGTCCGATGCCGGAATGTCCCGGTAGTCGCTGATATGTGCCGCTGTGGAGTGGGTCCCCTTGAGCATAACATAGTCCAGTCGGCGTGGGCGAAGTTCGGTGTTATATGGAAAATGGCTAGGCTCGTCCAGTCTCTGCGGTGGTAGTCGTAGACGGCGTTCCTGGAGCCAGGAGAGGAGGAGATCCCCTCGTGCAGTGTGGGCCACGGCAGCGTTGCCCCCGGGACGCAAGGTAAAGGTCTCGTTGGCGTCCGCCCCCATATAGACCCTGCGTTCTTGCACAGCTGGGTGCCTGGCGAGCGCTGCAAGCTGGACCCCGACTTGGTCCACTGTGGCGTGGTGCGGTAGGTGGTAGGAGACGACCCCGCAAACCACCTTGCCCTCGCCGACGATGCATGTGCTCACTCCTGCTCGTGTCACGGTGCTACGCACGTGGGTCCCCAAATCTTTGCGGAAAGCTACTGCTGCACCTCGCCAATCCTTATCTGTTTTGCCAGCCACCATGCGCCAGTGCTGAGAGGAGTCATACTTGATCCCTTCGGGAACGACGACTTCTTGAAAGCACCAAATGTCAACTTTGTCAAGGGGTGGTGATCCCCGAATCGCGGGTAAAAGAACCTCCAACGTCTTAGACGGGGTGAGGCCCCCGAGGTTCCAGGTTGCCACAACAAGGTCACGGGCAGGCTGTAGCTGTGCTGCCTCCCGTCTTTGGTGAAACTGCCGTCGGTGTTCTTTGGATAGTCACCGCAGGGCTGCCGCAAGCGGCCGCCAAGCTTCTGCGATGGTGTCCCCGGTGACCCCCAAGAGCCTTGCAATCTGCCCAAGGTCGACCCATCCTGGTCCCGCGTCTGAGGCACCTTCCGGCTTTGGGCCCCCGGTAGAGGAAATTTTGCGGTTGTCGTACCACACTGACCCTTCTCTCTCTCTTTCTTTCGCCAGGGCTATGGTGCAGGGGTACAGAGGGACGGAGGGGAGCTCCGTCCACGATTTTGTGCCAGTAGGAAGGGCGATATGTGGCGACATTGCCCTCACTCATGCTGCTGTAGCCTACAGAGGAGAGAGGCAAACTTGAATTCCCTCGAATTGAAACAGCACTGGCTTGGTGTAAAGTTTCCAACAGAACAAGGCGACGCACACTGCTGTGACTAATTGTTGCTGCATGGGCAGTACGGAAACGCACCTGCACACCGAGCGTAGACTACCTGCGGCCTGTAAGCCGAAAACCAGAAAGAAAGAAAGAAAGAAAGAAAGAGAGAGAAAGAGAGAGAGAGAGAGCGAGAGAGAGAGAGAGAGAAAGCCACTTTGGCGCGTGCAAGAACGAACCGCTTCATCGCACTGCCTTAAGTGGAGACCACCACGGCGCCGTGACGGAAAGCCGTTGTCAGTAGACTCTTGACCAACTTGGCGTACTCATGGTTGGCAGCCATGAAACAGAATGATGTTGATAATGATGAAGACGAAAATGATATGGCATTTTTAATTCCGAGTACGCCAGACCACAGGAAGGATATGCAAAACAAAACGCAAATTGAAATGAGATGAGCAGTGAGGGTCTGGGTCCTGCCCTCGCTGTGTGAGACACATGGAATCACACAGCACGGAAGGAGATGAAGGTAAAAATAAAAATGAGGGTCCCGCCAGCTGCCCACGGGGCCCAGGCGCAAACCAAAGCAGGTACGTTTGCCTGGGGTGTAGGGGAGAGCTTCGTTGGAGAGTTCCCCTTCGTCCCCCGGCAAGATGACAACGAAAAGTAACAGAGCGTGACCCCCTTAAGGTTCATGAACTAGAGCCCCACACACACACAATCCCACTGGAGTGCCGTTCCTGTAGAGGGAAAGTATGGGCGCTGGGCACAAAACTCACAAATACTGGCAATTAACTTTCAAGGAACCTGAGCGATTTCATGATGAAACGACGCCACTGTCCGTGCTTCGCAGGCGCGGTCTCACGCAGCGTGATTGCAGGATAGAGTCTTGCGAACTCGAAGCTCTGCACAGCCCCTGTCGTCGCCTCCTGAATGTGTGCTCTGCCCTTACACCAACTCTGCTAAAAAGGGTACATCGGGATCTCGGGATTCTTACATACCCCGCGCAGATCCTGTTCAAAGAAGCCTGGTTTGGTATTGCCGCACAGGTGACAAAACAAGGCCCCAGCTGCCCGTTGTCGCAGCTCTTCGACAGCTGCCTGGCACAAAAGATTCAACGATCTTGCGCACATCCCGTCCGAGTCCGAGCAGCTGTGACCTGAAAGCTGATGCACTACACAAATCGATAGAGCCTCGCAAAGGAAAGTTGGATTGAAAGTCTGTCTATAGGAGGGAAATTCTCTTGAGCACACCGAGTACATTTTCAATTCAGTTCCACGACTATTCACCTCCCCATCCTTTCTCACAGACATTCTTTCAAAGCCGACGCCCAGGCACACTCAGCAACCTGGAGATTCGCGCAAGTCCCGTTCCGAGCAGGCGCCTTGACTGCGTCATCGCTCATGGAGGGCACCGCCACCGAAAAGGTCTCGGCAGAGGGTTACGCGCTTAAGCGTCGAATTGATTCGATCCACAACGGCTGACCTCCACCGGTTATCTTCGCGCCTCCAAGACTTTCAACGCAGCATCGACGTCTGACACGGCAGCAGGCGACTTGGCCTAAGTGAGAGCCAGTCGTGAGCTTTTCTTTGTCTTACACAAAGCCTAAGGTCTAAGTGTAAGTGGAGCACCATCGCCAGAAGAGGAGTGCGGAGCTCCTTTCCGGAAGCCACCTCTGGACAGGGGTTGCGAATGCGGCAGGCTCTTGAGATCTTGAGGTAAGCGATGTTTGCCTTAATCGTGACGAAAGTATATGACAGCTAGTTGTCCCGGCCTTCTGGTACTGCTGCCACATCGCCTGAAGCGTGAAAATGGCGTGCGAGACATCCAGACGCGACGGGTCACGGCCAATAGTTTGTGTTCAAGAACGAACTTGGGTCGCTTGTTGCTGTGGGGCTGGTAATCACTCAGGACTTCCCTTCCGAAAGACGATCGAGAGTTCGGCGCTCTGACGCTTGGCGTTCGGCTGTGCCCCGGGGCTCGTGCAATCGAAGCTCGGTCTTCGGAAGTTGCTTGCACACATGTTGCTTTCGGCGTCGGTGTAGAAGGAGACATCCAGGCCCACTCAAACGGAAATTCGGAAACGCGCCAAGTGCTCACGAAAGTCATCCATTTGCAGGGCCTCAACAGCCCCTGCGATGACCGCACCAATGCTGCATTCAGCTATCACAGGTGCCAGGTCCGACCTGGGGCAGCCGCTTATGAACCGAGCTCCCTTCTCCTCGTTCGCTAAGCTCGGTGCCAGCTTCCTCCGGCTCGAAGCTCCTTCAGTTCAGCAGCTCAGCGGCCCGAAACTGGCCGTGGCCAGATGCTTTGGATACGATGAGTCCTCCGTCCACCAAACCTCCCAGATGCTCGTGGCCGGAGCGTCCACCTGACACCCACACTTTTGCAGGCCAGCTTCGACGCAACAGCCCGGAATCGCATTAAGGGGGCCTCTTCCTGACCACTCGAGCTGTGCCCCTGGCGGTTGCTACTGTGGAGTGTATAAAGACTGCGCTCGAACTCAACTGAGGACGACGCAACACCTGGGCGACTCTTGGCAGCTGCTTCTCGCAAGGACTCGGCCCACTCCTCAACAGATCCGCTGTAGCAGCACAGCTGACCAATCACTAATCCACCCACCTTCGCTTGACTGTCTGCTTTCACGATCTGTAAGGGCTTGGCCGATAACCCACTCGAGGTGCTCCACTTCTCTTGCGCTTGATGCAGCAGCTGCGCGCTCGCTGCCAGGTAGCTGGCCTGCAATCGTGACGGAGACAAACGCAAATAGCGGTGGTGCGCCGTCCAACAAGCTTCCCGCCAGGTTTGCCACATTTCCTGCACTGATGTGCCGAAAAGCTTCTCAAGCTGATGTGATTGCAACGCCCCAAGCCTTCGAGCTTGGCTACGGCCTTTCGGAAGAGCAGGCGAGAGGGCGCCCAAACCTCAGTGGGACGAGGGCGACGGGAAAGCGCCTGGCGCCGCATCTCTCACAGATTCGGGAGAGTGCATCCTTTGTGCCGGCATCCTCTGTCTTTGCCTGGCCATGGGTCCCGATGGGGGACAAAGCAATGAGAGAGGTCAGAGTCTAGCAACTAGCTCAAAACCAGAAGACTTCTGCTCAGAGCATGCTTCTGCTTGCTCAGAAGGCTCCTGCTAACATTCGCATGCTTAGTGGAGCCCTCTGGGCCTGGCGTATACTCAGTTTCTCAGCTGACCTCATATGTTTGATTTTCGGCCGCAAACACTTCAGAACTGAGTCTTTCAAGGGCGGCTAGTCCAAAAGGACTGTCTCGGCTTACCGGTTTACCTGTTCTCAATCATTGCATGCAAAAAAATACGGTGATCGCTCGAAAAACGAAACGTCTCTGCCGGAGATCTCCACAAGAGCCCTCACAGCAAACTGAAATCCAATGCAAACGGGCGTTTAGAGTCAACAGTCCCAAACAAACCTGTTCCCAGATTCAAATCTGAGTTCTGAGCCGATGATGAGTTGGACTGGAGAACATCATCAACCCCCTAAACTGAAGCAAACCATGCGACAGCCAACGAGCTTCACCCGGCGTATGGAATAACAGTACGTTACAAGATCTTACAAGCTGCCCGAACACCCGAACTCAACATCGTGCAGCATCCTCGGCGTCTTCTTCCTGTTTCAGCTGCTCAGCTGCAAGCAACTGACCAGCCTCGAAGGATAGGAGCATCACAGCACAGCAACTGCTTGAAGCTCTCCGTGAAGCGCATCGTATCTACAGTGCCTTTGCTGCTCTCCTATTCAAACTAAGAGAGGGTGGGTTCGGTGCGCTTCAATCGACAATATCAGGAGGCATGCAGGCTTGCCAAAGAAGGTGCAACTCGAAGTCTTCGTAGCTCGTCTTGGAAAGGTGTAGGCATGTCGATAAAAAGTTCTCACGGCCGGCAAATATGTTCAGACCTGCATCCACGTACAGGCTGACTGCAGGTCACAGTTCACACACCTCGCAACAAAACTTCAAACAAACACATCTCATCTTGAAATTGCCGAGCTCGGCACAACACCCACCTCCAATCGCAAGAATTCGACGAGAAGCTTGACCTGTGAAGCATCTGCATGGGACTTTCGGGCACTCCCGAAGATTCTGTACTCTGGAAGAAAACCTCGGGATCTCGCAGTTTGTCTCGCTACTGCCGTGGCCGACTAACCCCTTGCTGTGCATAGTCAGCACTTCTGCTCGTTCTTTCTTACTGGCTCGGAGATGCTTGGAGTTCCGCTTGACACCTACCCTTGCGTCGTGTAGGGGCCGTGCCGATGTGGGCACGCACCGCAGGCCCCGCAGCAGGAGCTTCCGCGCAGCTTCAACATGCCCTGCCACAGGCAGAGATGGCAACACGTGGCAGGGCAATAGACTGGGCAAGGCAAGGACGGCAAGCCATGCTTGATGATGGGTGGCTCTGCATCGTCTGGCCTTGCTGGAGTTCTCGATCTGCAGCAAGCAGCCAGAGATGAACCTCTTTCGGGTGGTACCTGAGCTTCAGCTATCGTCGGCTGCCCATCTCAAAGCTTGGGACGACCAGGTTCTTCGCTTCACTGCCCGCATCAGCACCCGTGTCAGCATCGCCGTACTGCCTGGACACCAGATGATTGAAGCAAGGCTGTGACGCTTTGACGCGTCTCTGACAACTTGGAGCATGGACCACTTCTCAAACAGAAGTCCACGTGTTGATACCTGGGCGTAAACTTGTAGAGTCGGCAATATGCGGTTAACATCTCAGGGTAAATCAAAAGCTGAGAACGTTGCCAGAGCTGTAAGTCTCCCTTGAATCTGTGCCTTGAAGCATCCAACCGATTGGACAAACTTGGCGAAACCGCTTCAGCGCACATCGTGTTCCACCACTCAGAGTTTTACGATCCCCGATGGAGGATGTTGTGGATCCGCCTCAGCCCTGCCTCAATTGCTCAAGACTTCTTTCTGATGCTGTAGCATGTAGCCTGCGCCGTCCGTCTGGAAAGTGCAAAAAGCTGAGAATCAAGCGACCGTACTGATCGAGTATTTTCGCCAGCGGAGGGCACTGGTTCGGCGGCGCCTTTGACGCGACTCTGACACTGCCGTTTGCACCACTGCAAAACAGATGCCTAGATTCCCGGCCTCAAGGCCTCCAGAGCAATCTCGTACCGCACCTACAAGTAGCTAGGCTGTTCAACCAACAGTCCAACATGTGGACAGCACAGCTGGCAGATCTGCAGATCCTTTCCTCTGGCAGCTCTGGACTCATGAAACGGGAGGTGGCTTGTCCTGAAAGCACGTCAAACCATTTACGGGCATGGTGCCCTTCTGGAGGTAAGCCTTGATGTGAGCTTGACACTCCTTGACTGCATCTTTGTTGTAATCGGTTGCGTGAGATGGAAAGGTGTGGCCGATCCCCTGCCACGTAATCAGCGACCCGCCGGGAAATGCACTCTTCATGTTCTGCGCCCAGCTGTAGCTGGTAGCCGGGTCAAACAAATTGCCCACAACCAGCGGGTACACGATAGAACTACCCATCGGTGCGTTCGGGGTCGCCTTCACTGGCCAAAGGAAATAGCCCACCATGTCTCCCACCACTGCAGCCAAACCGGCATCACCTTTACTGGAGGCAGCAGATTTCCACTGACGCAGGAGGTCCGGGACGTCAAAGTATCCTGCCTGATCGACACCCCAAACCGCACACTGCTGCATGTACGGCTCTCCAAAATCCTGACCAGTGCCTTCCTCGTCCTCCGCTGTTTGCCCAGGACCAACACAAATGTCATAGTTGTACCAGGTGCTAGCGCCTTTTACAAAGCAGAACCCATCCAAGATGAAGGCGACTGTTGACTGAATCGTCTCAGAACTGGCTTTCGGAGAGAGCCCTGCCAAAGTATCCAGGATTCTGTGAAACAGCCTGCCGGAGTTTGATGCCGACTCGGTCTGAATGTAAGCCATCAGCATGCCAACTGTCAATGGGAACTGCATCCCGGACTTTGTAGGCGCTGTCAAGTTGCCCCGACGAGCTGCAGCCACGATCTGGTCGTACTCCCCTTCGGGGTCTTCCAGCGGACAGTCTGATGCGGCTTTACCTGACTTTGGGACGGTACCATTGAAGTGTCAGTGTGGAAAAGCCGAAAGCAGAACCGAGCTGCCTAAAAACTCCAAACAGTTATGAAACTGTCTTGCGGCAGGTATTCAGCAAGAACGCGATGAATTTGTCGTTGGCTAACGCATCGCCAGTGGCTTGTGCGGTCTTCCGGGGCGTAGGATCCATATTGCCATCCAGAACTACGCGGCCCGTAAACTCACTGAAGGCCGAAGCATACACACCGGCCACGTATGTTCCATAACTGTACCCATAGAAGCTCATCTTCTGTGCCCCAATTGCACGACGAAACCGATCAATGTCGTAGGCTAGAAACTGGGATCCCACGTACTCCAAAAAGTTGTAGGTCTTGCTGTTGGCCCCTTGCAACTGAAACTTTGGAGAGGCTGCGCACCTGCTGCCCCAGGCATCTCTCTTCCTCAGGAGATGCTCCACCTGCGTCTCGTTCTGCGGGTCGATGTCCGCCCAAATCTCAGCGAAACAAAGCGTAGGCTAGGCGTGCGCGCAACTTTGCGACTGCGACCTGCGAAACCTCAAGCCTCAAAGCTTCGACAAGAAAGCGCAGAACCTCGCCGATCTGGGGCGTCCCATCCAGCAGAGCACACGGGCAGTCAGTGAAGTCGCTGATTTGGCAACCTCGTCTTCACTCAAAACATGATGTTTCGGATTTGAAGAACTGACAGGTGGTCAGGCAGCGTCTCCCGATGCGATTTTGTATTTGGCATGAGCACCATGACAGCAGGCTTTCTGTGTGCTGGTTTGGCGTGGCATTCGAGGGTAATTCTCGGCAGTTAGAGCTCAAGCTTGCAGATGCTTGCAGATTGTGAGGCGAAGTTAAGCTGAGTTCCGGGCCTGTGGCCGGGCATCCCGAGGGAAGGTGGGAGTTGTTGCAGTTCAGCGCCGGATCGGCTCTCGGCCCGATTCCACGCTGCGAGATGGACCAAACGTCGTAGCCTTCGAGGTGGGAGCCCCAAGCCTCGGTGAAGATGTCACTTAGCTGCTTAGCTCTCATCCCACCGGAAAGAAAGCTTTTCTAGAAAAGCTCAACGTCATTATTACATTATCCTTTTTTTCCCGGCGGCGTATCTGAGGCAGCTGCTGTCGGAACCCGGACCCCCACAGTGAAGCAGCAAGGGTCCCAAAGGCGCAGGCTGCTGGTCTGAAAAGTACATGGCGATCTCCAGCTCCAGTTGGGGGCTCTTCGCATCTGCAGGGTCCAGGAAGACGCTCAGCGTGCCGGTGATGAGACGGCCACCGGAGGGCACCTGGTTCCACCGCACAACGGAAGGGTCCGGGCGCATGGGGCCATACGAGCGCAGCCGCCGCTCGGCGACATGCTGAAGCATCTGCAGAGTGCAGGACTGCCCTGACTCGTGTCCGCACTCATCATCCGCTGCACCTGCATTCCCAGCGCCGGCCTGCAGCCTCAAAAGTAGAATCCACAGACCAGCCCGCCCAAGCATTCCGGGCATGGCAACAGCCGACAGATGGAGTGGGCGTGTCTACACGTTCATGCCACTGCACTGTTGGCAGAAGCTTCGCAACCTGCTACGAGCAGGACCACGGAAAAAGAGCAGACAGACATAAGACTAAGACAGATAGGGACTTGGACACGAAATTTATTCCGAGGAACTCGGCAATTCTAGGCAAGTCTTCTATGCCGAATAAGTATATCCAACTGACATGTAACGACGTGGAAGGCCTAGTCCATCTCCTTCACTTTCACACACGAGCTTCGGGCAGCTACACAAAGAAGGAAGCAGCCGCGTTTCAAGAGCTCTGCGGGTTTCCGAGATCCTGGCATAGTTTAAGTAGTCCTGTCAACAACTCTTTTGCGGTCACATGAGGCAGGCAAACCCACCTACCTGAGAAGGGCTTCAGCGGAATTGTGAACAGCTACGGCAACGTCAAGCAAGGGCTAAATGGGTCCTGCGGCTTGCCAGGATTCCGCCTCGGGTGTGCAAATTCGGCGTGTGCTTCGGAAGGCTTAACTGAATAGCTCAGTACTACTTAGTACCACATCGCCAAATGCAACTGAGCTTCTGCAGAGTGTACTCGAACTCTCGACGGCGGCGCACGATGTGCCTGAAAACACGGCTATCTTCCAACCGGCAGCCGGCATATATGCCGGCGTCCCTGCAGCCCTGCCTCAGCTCATCCTCAGAGAAAATCTTCCGCCGCCGGAGGTCGTCCAGCTCTGGGACCATGTCCTGAGCGCAGCACTCGAAAACCCTCTGCCAAAAGCGTCGCCCGTGGCGTCCTGGAGCGCTTGCTCCACATAGTCTGCCATTACCAGGGAGGCTGGGCCCGGCTGCCCGGCTGCCCGGCTGAGCTTCGGGAGTCAAAGGACAAAAAGCGTGGTGCCTCGGGACTCGGCTGCTGGACTGGGGAAGGCTACGACTGAAGGACAAGGTGCAGAAGCTTGCCATGATTGTCTTGAGACTTGAAATGTTGCGGCAAGCCGAATTCCAAAGATGAAAGCTCCCTAAGCTCGGCAATTCAGCAGCAGTGACTAAGAGCTGACTATGAAGGCCGAGCTTGCGAAGAGAAAGCTGACTGCGCAGCCTTCACTTCCGGCTCTTCCGCTTTGTTGGAGTCCTCGTCCTGCCGGAGCTCAAGTTTGAAACACCCCCGTGTTGCGCAGTCCGCAAAGCATGGAGCAGAAGATGCAAAGTTGGAGTCCTTGCGGGACTTGGGACTTGCATTGGCGGCTTCTTGCAACGCTGCCTTCTTTGCCTTCTTCGCTGCCTGCAGGTTTACAAGGCTCAGTGGTCCAATGGCTGAGGAGCTTACGTGAGCCGCCTACAGAAATCAGTTGCTGGAGGTTTCCGACATCTCTGTTATGCGGCATGCGTTTACAACGGCCGGTTGCCGCTTGGGCAGTGTCGACACGGCTCATACTGGGAACAGCTCTGGCCACATCAGAGCGTTTTGTCCCGAGCAGCTCCCTGGCTGTGCTATATCGTTCTCAATGCATCTCCGAAAGTGTGGGGCAAGAAATTTCCTGACATTCTCGAACCACCGACGGACCGACCGAGAAGGCTACAGCTGTTGGCTTAAGGCTTAGCCCTGAGCCTTCTCCTCGGCCTTGCGCTTTGCCTCGGCCTCAGCCGCGGCCTTCCGCTTTGCATCGGCCTCTGCGGCCTTGCGCCGGGCCCGCGCCTCCTGTGACTTGAGGCGCCGTGCAGAGCAATCCTGAAACCTCAAGCCGCACCTGGCCCTGGTCTAACCGTCAAGCCTCCTGCCACACCAACCCGCGCCTCGAGGCAAGGATTTAGACACGCGGACGACGACGACCACCACTACTAATTACCCCTATTACTACTACGACGACCACGACCAGGCCGATGCCGATACAACACCGAGATGCCCATGCTGGCAGGGACGACGACACCCCTACCAATGCCATTGCTGCTGTCGCAATAGCGCTACTTCTGCCACCACTACCACCACCAACATCCACCAACTACTGCTTCCACTTGCTGTCCTGCTCCTTCTTGAGGCTGCTAAGCAAGTTCACCGGGAACTTCCAGCGCCCTGCTCCTTGGATGCCAGACATCATCACTTCTGCCCTGCTTCTTGCCCCTCCGACTGCCCGACATCCCGACATTCTTCCCCTGGCCCATCTTGACGAGCTGCCGCTTGTGACAAATTGCCGACTATCGTTTCATCCAACAGGTGAGGCTTTCTTTCAAGAGTTGGTCTGTTGTGCAACAGAGTCAGGATCCCTGCATACAAGAGCTGAAGCTTTTTGTCTGCACATTCCTCCACTCTGCATGACCAGATATGACGAGCATGTCGTGCTCCGGGCCCCGTTCCGAAGAGGTCGATGTAATGAGCGCCCGTTGAGATGCCGGTCACCAATCCAACCTCCTGCGAGTTTGGAGGTTTGTCTGCAGGGTGCGAGTCGCGAGATTCTCGAGAAATGTCGCGCAATGTCTGCAACAGATGCTTACGGCCTCATACACTAGGAAGCTCTTGCATTCAGCGAAATCCAGCATGCAGCCATATTTATTGCTTGTGAACAAATTGGGGGGCTCGACTCTGGAAGAACAATGATGTCGGAATGTCATGATTCGGAATTTGTCCTTCGAACCTATTGTCTTGCTCCAGACGCTAAAACCCCCCATCCTAATGTGAAACAAATTATGCTTGCATGCAAACTATGAAATATTAGTGAAGGTGGCTTTCAATCTTTCCATTGCTCAGTGCTTTCTTCGAAACCTTTCCTTTGGCGGGCCGCAAACTCTGCAGTTCTACGTCCCTGCGGTTGCTGCAGCCTGCAGTTCCCCGAAGTGCCTGCAGTCCTAAAAGAGCCCTAAACTCTGAGAGGGACAGGAAGTCAACTCGCACGCTCTAGTATACAGCACGGATAACAGAGACAGAGAGGGCTTTGAGACAAGCTAAGTAATTAGCTATCGGTCACAACCCTCTACCCGTTGGACGGTCCGCCGTCTCTGCCTGATGGCGTCCAATTGTTGTGCAGGCTTGGTCCTTTTAAACTCCTCTTCGGGCGCATTGAATGCGCCGCACGCTGCCCAAAACTAGTAATTATCCCACATTACACGGGGGTTTCTAAAACTGCGGTTGCGGGATTAGTGCCCTATAGTGCGTAAGCGAGAGTATAGAAGACACCAAAATCGCATTGAGCAGGCAATCTGCACGTTGACGGTCTGGCTGCGTCGGCACAAAAATTGTGGCAAGCCGAATCGTCAAAGCAAACGCTTGTCTTCGGTCGGCGTTCCTCGCTGAGAGTGCAGCAGGGCTCCTTGGATGAAGCTTCGTTCTTGGGCGTTGGCTAACATCGCTTCTTTTCGACCACGCATGTCCTGACACGATCCCAAGGCCCTAGGGGCCCTAGCACTGGAGCTTGAAACCTTCAGTATCCTTCAAACCAACCCGCGAAATGCCAAAAGATCTTCCGTGAATTAGTGCGAACTGTTCAGGCAGATCTTTTCCAAAGCATTGGGCTGAATGCTCTGGTTCGTTATCCAAGAGTTTCCCATCACTGTGGCTGTCTCAGCATCGAGCGGCTGTAAGATCAGATGCCGCGGGTGGCTTCCGCCGCTGTGCGCTCAAGCTAATCTACCCTGAACTGCTTCTCCCCGTCAGAATCGCAAAATGCAAAGCGGACCAGCTAGACGCCCCACGACAAAAGCACTGAATGACCGGTGCGAGTCGGTCTTGATGTTGGCAAACGGGTCAGGCTTGGACCTGAGACAGCACGACTTGTGGATGCTGCAACTGTGGATCCCATATCCGATGACACAATGATCTTGCTTTAATGTGCGTCACTCCACCGCGTAGAACTGTTGAACCTGTGATAACCCGTGCTTGAGTTGCTTTCGTTGACGGACGTTGAAATCGGAGGTCATTTAAAGATCGAATGCCAAAGAGCTTCTGCAAACCCAGGCTTCGTGTCAAGGCGAGCTCTTGTCTGGTTGGGATGCTCGCAAGGCATTGTCAGCAGTCCAGTTGTTGCAAAGTCTCGGTTTCGGCTCCCCTGTGCCTCGGCCGCAGGGAGGATTCGGCCCCGTCGGCCTCCTCGTCTTCCTGCTTCGCTTCCTTCACATCCTCGAAGGAGATGAGGACCTGTTTCAGAACAACGTGACTAGGAAAAAAGTCGCTCAGGCAATGCAAGCTTGTCTGTCTTGTCAGTGAGGCTGGCACCCGGTTGTCCTTTGCCATGACCAGGTGGAAGCCCTCACCAGTGATCCTCAGCGGGTCATGTGAGGCGCTGCTTGGAGACCCTTCTTCTTGACCGAGACTTTTGGACCAGTGTGCGGGGTTTCTTACGGTCAAGGAAATGGCGACTAAATCTGAGCTTCCCACATCTGCACAGTGAGGTGCAAATCCTTGGCCCGCCACTTGAACAGCTTTGGGAAGGAAGTGACGATAAAATCTGCGCGGCTGCTTTCTAAAGTTCTAAAGCCAACGAAGCACAAGGACCAGAAGCCACCGGGCACACAGTGTGCATTTTGCTAGGGTATTGGTTGAATCATGTTACAAGGTTGGCACTCGCTTTTGCGCAGTTAAACGTAGCTTCCCAGGTGAGCTGCCGAAGAAGAAGCCACAAGCCCTAAGGGCGAGCAGCCAGCTGGACTGTGCACAGTGAAGACTGAAGAGAAAGAGAGCTCGATCAAAAGCGAGGTTCTCTATCCGGGTGGCCGCGGGTGGGCCGAAAAAGCTGCAAGCACTGCGATCGCTCAGGCAAACCTTGCAAGTCAAGGTTGGCACTCGCTTTTGCGCAGTTAAACGTAGCTTCCCAGGTGAGCTGCCGAAGAAGAAGCCACAAGCCCTAAGGGCGAGCAGCCAGCTGGACTGTGCACAGTGAAGACTGAAGAGAAAGAGAGCTCGATCAAAAGCGAGGTTCTCTATCCAACTCTGGAACGTTCTTCGGGAGCAGCAGGGACAGAAGACAAAAGACTGTAAGTTGACACTTGCAAAAGTTGAGAGGCGAAGGCGGCCAACTGCAAGATGCGAGAACGGTGACTCTCTGTCAGCTCGGCGAGGAGCAATTGGCCAGCCACCTCCTGCAAGTAGTGCTCCAAAGTTCGGCGCTGTTGCCAGCGCCCTCTCCATTGAATCCTCCCGACATCCTCCGTCATCTGATACAGCCACGTAGCTCCCGAGCCTCTCAAAGACTTGGGAGTGATACCCTTAGCATCTTCCGCAGTAGGGACTCCCAACCTGCTGAAGAGCAAGTCCCATCGCCTGCGGAAAACAGCAGGTGAGCAGCCGAACAGCGGGACAATGCCAGGAAGATGGCCAAAGAGAGCATCAAGGAACTTTACGGTGCAAATGTCCGAAATCTTGGCATGCTGTCGCTGGAGAAACCTGCGTGTTTTCGACCCCAAAATGGTCACGTAGGCCAAGGGAACAGCAGTAAGCAAATCCCGTGGCAGGATCAAGTCCTTGCGCCGAAGGGAAAGCAGCTCGCCAGGTCTCAACAAACCGTGGAATCCCAAGAGAAGGGCTGCAGCAAAATGTGGCCACTGCCACAAAAGGGCGACAGCCACTGCAGCTCGGAACACAGCCTCGGGCATGACCATAGAGCGTTCGATCGGCTCCTCCTCCTCCCACCGGGTGAGGATGCTCCAGGCTGCCCCAAACGAGGGTCGAAAGTGCTTGAAGCGGTCCACAACAGCGTTCAAAGTTTCAGAAAACACGTACTTAGGACCACCACTATAAAAGACAGCCTTTCCGTAGCCAACTAAAGCAGTGCCAAGGAGCAGGCCTGAACTGGAAACTTGCTGAAAGGAGCAGTGCAGCTCGTCCTCAACCCAACGCTCGAACTCCAGAAACAGGCTCTCCCGCCTCGAAGCAACTACTTTGGTGAGGCCACCAGCTACGTCGAGATTGATTCGAGAACGATCGCCCGCGGCTGCGGAGCGCCGTCTAGGCATGCTGAGCCTCAAGAACAATCAGCAGAAGAGCAAACCGAGTCCAGCAGCCCAGGGCCCCACTGAAATCATCAGAAGCCCGAACAGCGGTGAGGAAGCGGTCGTCTCCAGCCAGGAACCTCTGCAGCCAAACTGGCGTCACTGCAGTGGGAGCTCGCAAAGGCCGCAATCGCGAGGGGTCGTCTGAGCAGTTCTCGCCAGTCCCTACGTGGAACAGGCAGGGATACAGATCTCCGCCCAAGATGTACGGCAGGCTGGTGCTAAGGAAAAAGTTCAAGCTAGCACTGCTACTTCGGCCCTTAGCGTTGCAACCAATGGTGACGCGACTGTCAAGCAGTACTCCGAAACGGCAGCCTGGTGAAGTTTTTGCAACATGCTTAAGAAGACTGCGATAAGCAAGCTCCTCATTGACATTGATGTGGTTGAGCCGCTTGAACCTGTACTGAATGAGCGTCTTCCAGTGCATGCAACATCCGAGGTCGCCTATCCATCTGGGAGGTTCAAAAGGTGGCCGTCGCAAACCGACGCTGGAGCTTTCGATTGACTGTATCGCTGGCATCTGCAAATCCAAAACTTTCTGCATGACAATCAAAGGGCAAGAATCGGAAAAGCTACTCAAAGACTCCCCAATCTGTGGCTCGCGCCCGAAGACCGAAATGGAATCAGGAGAGCAGCGTAGCAGAAATCTTTGTCGGCTCTCTCGGTCAAAAGTAGGTCCTAGCCGCAAGTGCTTGTCAGGGAGCTGGCAGGTACACCCGCCTTCAAGCTCGCGTAGTGCAGGATTGTTTGCAATCAGCCGGGTGGGTCTCCGGAAAGGTGTTCCATAACTGCAGCAGCTGAAACTGACAGTGAAAAACCCCCGAGTTAACAACCTTCCAAAGGAGTCGAGAGCGTAAAGCACAGAACCCAGAGGTTGCTCAGCACTGGCTAAAGCACCGTACGAGGCTGCCACATGGAGGATTTGCTCCACCCGGGTTGCAAGGAGGTTTCCCTCACGTGTGCAAGCTTCACTTGGGTCGAACCCCCAAGGCGCATCACGGCTGCGCAGTCTGGGCCTGCGCATAGTCCCGAAACTCGGAAAAGGAATCGAAATATGAATATATGCAATGACCCGGCGACAAAGGAGCCCGATGATTGCAAGCATTGTATGTGGTTGCAAAATGTCATCAGCAGAAAAACCACTATGCACCCGCAGGCCCCGAAGATGCGCGGCATGCGAGAGGCTACCTTGGCCTCGAGAGATCTCGCAGACATCGAAAAGAATGCCTTCGCCCAAAGATCGCGGGACTGCCTCCCCTTCCGCTTCACTCTGCCCTGAACTGAATTGGTCAAGATAGCTCGCAAGTCGCGGCTCAAGAGCAGTGTAAAATCCTCGGTGGTCGGCGAACCGCAATAACTCAGAGCTGGCATGCAAAGGAACATTGCACGAACAGATGCCTGCTGCAAAGGGCGAAGCGTCGGTGCAAAACAGTCTGGTCGAGGGCTCAGCACGCAGATTGCTCATTGCACAGGGTACGAGAATCACAAGTAACAAAAGCTCTTGACGGCAGTCGTGGCTAAGTCGAAAAACCTCGTCACCATGATGTTCTGAACCCTCGTGGTAGACTTGCGAAAGTATGCTGAGCATCGGTCGCCTGAAAAGCAAAACGAACATCCAGCAGCCAATGATTTGTTGCAGCAGCAGCAGAGTACGAGTACACCAGCCTAGGTTAACGACCTGCAAGGTAATGGCTGACAAAGCAGTGCTCTTCAAGCGGGGAGCCGCAATATCACCGCGGACTCCGTCAATCTGTCCACCCAGGACGGTGGCGGTATAAGCATTCCTGATAGCCTTTTTTGTGGAGGTTCTCAAATGCACTTTGGAATACATGTCACCAGCTTGACGGAAAAGACGGATGTCACGGCGATTCGGAGAGGGCTGTCTGCACCTTTCCCAGGCATCAACCAGTAGTAGGTACACGTGGTCGTCGATACATAACAGATCGAAACCCGGGCCCTTCGGGATAGGGTGCTTATAGCAAACTTGTTCATGAGATGCCAGACAGCCTGCTCGTTGTAAAAGGACGGTGTGGCAGTGCTGCGCAGTTTCTACAGCAAAGTTGGTCCCCATAGCTAGGGTTTTGAAACACCCTACGACAGGAACTCCGTGTAGTTCAGGCTTGTACGCGTGCCACCCCTCAAAGTCCGCGCCATCGAAAACTCCACGCAGGTGGTTCCTGGAAGCGTGTTCTTCACTGACTGCAAAAGCATGATAGAAGTCCTTCAAATCATCTGAAGAAATGACCAGATTCTTACCCTGAGGAATGAATACCTGCGTGAGCAGCGAGGCATGCGCCAATGAGAATGTCGCATCGGACACCGAAAACGTTCTCGAATTCTCAGGGATTGGGTTCAGGATCTGCCGGTCAACTGTTGCTGACTTATAAACCGAGAATAAGCCACATCGATACTTGAACTCGGAGTGCGATGCAGGAAGAAGATGCAGTGACCGAACATCATCCCAACGCTTGTACAGTCGCAACTGTTGATCTCGGCTCGTCTGAACCCGTGCCCTGACTGTGGGAGGCCATTCGGTGCGGGCTCGTCGAAAGAATCGGGGATCCTTAAAACCAGCACGAAGAAAAGGATCAACAAGAAATCTATCGGCTTCAAAGGTGGGAGCTTGCTCAAAGACGAGGCGGTCGGGGTCCAAAGCTTTATAGGAAGTAGAAGCAGAGCCCGACACCCTAGGCAAAGGCGAGCTCGAGCTTGCAGGCTGACACTCACTGTCGAAGACGCCAGCCTGAGCAGAAGCTTTCTTGATGCATCCATTGTAGGGCTGAAGCTGGGACGAAAGCTCAAGGCAAAGCTGTTGCACTGCCGCCAGCTGTTCACCCAAAGTCTCAAACTTCTGAACCGCTCTATCAAGGTCGCGTTTGGGGCCATGGCCCAAGCGAACCCAAGTTGTAACCATGCCCTCGAGACGATGAAGCATCGAAGCCTGCGGGGCAGAACTAGGCGGCAAGTCAGCGGGAGGATCCCGAGGTCTTCCAAGCGCAAGCCAATTGCACGCGGCAACAAGTTGGTGTGTCAGCTGTCTGCACTGGTGCCTGAGTTTCCATCGCGCCTTGCGCCGGCCCACCAACCTGGAATGCGGAAGTTCCAGAGAAGGGGGCAAAGGGCACGGCCACAACTCTGAGGAGCTCTGCGAGGCAGCGCTCGAAAAGGTTTGCGCACACGATTTATGAATAAAGGTTGATAAAGAACATTTCGCCATCAGCAAAAACCTCTGAAGTATACTGCACAAAGAAGAGGCACTGATGCTGTCATCAAGACCTGAAGGAAAAAGATGAGGAAGGAACCAGAGAGAGGAGCTTAAGCTTTGTTCTCGCCGGTGCCCCCGTCCTGAGCGCCCTTGTTGCGCTTGCCGCGCCCCTTGGGCCCGTCCGGAGTGTCTGAGGGGCCTGTGCTCGGCTGGCCGTGCGCTGCCGAAGTCCTTTCCTGTATCAACTGAGCATCCCGTAAGTATCCGAGCTGAGCTGCAACCCACCGCGGATCCGAGAGCATCCCGTGCGGCATTTCTGCACGGGGAGCTTTGCGACCTTCCACCATTGCGAAGGGAGGGTCGTCGAGGCATGTCAGAAGCCAAGCCAGGCGGGTGTGCCCGCCTTCGTTCGCCACTTGTTCGCAAAAGACTAGCCCCCGAGCAATGATCGATGCCACCTCCTCCCCGCGGCCGTTCTCCATCGCCTCCCAAGCTGCGCACAGCAGAAAAGACACGTAAGTCAGTGTTTTGAAGCTTCCGAGGGGCACGGTTTCCTGAAAGTGAAGGAACATATCCCTCGGCTCCAGCTCGGCAGTCGATGGTTTTCGGCGAGCCTGAGCCAGGCGCTCTCTGACTTTTCCCAGGACAAGAGAGGGATGCCGTTGAAAGTGTTCGCGGACAAGCTGGCGGGCAGCCATGCCCTTCACGCCCGGAAGCTTCAGCTCCTCGTCGGCTCCGCCGGTTGTTGACAGCAGCTGGTGTAGAGGATCCGAGCTCTTCCGGGCATTTGCTGCCAACTGTGCAAGAATGGCCGTCTGCTGGATCAGAAGCTTCTGCAACACCCCCTCTCCCTCGGCACCCTCTGCGGCGACGGCCTCCTCGTCGTCCTCGCCATTTCTGGCTTCGTCCCGGAGCGCATCCACGCGAAGGGTAGGAAGAGCCGCGGCTTTTGCAGTGGCCCCCAGGCGTAAAGCCCCGCTGGGAAGAGCAGTCGAGGCACTGGGCCCCGGTAAGTCCCCCAAGGTTCGCGGTCCCCGGCCGGCGAGGTTGAGAAGCTGCCCCACCTGCTCCTGTGACAACTGGGCGTTCCCGCCCTCCATGAAAAGCTGGGGAGCCCAAGCTGGACCTGCTGGTGCTGCCGGCGGTGCGGCGATGGCAGGTCCGGACTCTAACTGGCTCAGCCGCTCCTCGAAGCGGTCCAAGCTTCGCATCCGGCTCTCCAGGCCTCCAAGAAGGGCAGCATTCGCGGATGTTGATTGCAACAGCTGCTGCAGCAGATCGGCCGAAGCAGCCCCAGCAGTCTCTAACCCGGGAGGCTCTAAACCAGGAAGATCCATGCCATCCATTCCGCCACCATCGTCGCCAGTCAGGTAAGGCTCCAAGCGGTCGAGGGCATCGGCTTCGTCTCCATTGACGAACTCCAGCACCCGAGGACCTGAAGGCCAAACACTTTGCAGCCGCGTAGTCCCAAAGGTCACCTGCTGGAAGTCGGCCCGGGGCTCGCCAGCCAGCAGGTCGAGGCCGTTCAATGAAAGATCGATAATCAAACACGCCACGGTCTTTTTGAGCTCCCGGCTTCCACTGGCTGACACGGTTGGGACGTTGATGAGCTTCCAAGGCCCAAGTACACCATCGTACCCGGCCTCGGCAGCCTGCTCGAGCATAGCCACTGTAACGCCACCCTGGGGAATGCAAATCATCATGCCGGTCTCGACCGCCTTGACGATAAAGCATTGCGAGCATAGTCCTTCGTAAGAAAAGAAAAGCCTAGTGTATCCCGACGGTTGTTCCGCCGTACGCCACTCGCCCAGGTACTCAATGTCCCCTGGGGCAGCGCCTGCCGAAGCCATCAGGCAAAGGAGCGAGGCAAGCCGTCAAGGCCTGCTCCGCGCGAGAACGCCTCCGCTTCAACAAGGGAAGCGAAACCTCGAGACACCGAAGTAGGATCGAATGTCCTGCCGGGGCCCGTCTTCACAAGCTCAAGGTACTTGGGAAGGGAGGTTGTGTGCACCGGCTCGGTCACACTGTCACCTGCGAGGATCACGTACACAACACGCCGGCCTTCGTTGCCGGTGGTCTCAAAGCACCTCCTTTCACCGCGAACTATGGCTGCAGCCTGGCGGCCCAATTGATAAGCAGTGCGAACCCTATCCTCAGGCGTAAGTCCTTGATAAGTTGCCCGCAATTGCCTAGCCAATCTCAATACAGAAGCTGGGCACTCAACCGGGGAAGCAACAGCAAAAGGCGATGCGCTCGCTCGGCTAGTTCCTGCAGCCTCGGTGGCGGAGCTCCCGGCTCCGGGTGCAAAGGAAACGCTCGATTGCCCAGGCTCTGGCCCAGGATTGTTTGTAACAGTGATATTGATCGTAAGGTTACCCAGGCGGCTGATGAGATCTAGCAGCTCAGGATCAGGCCTGGTGCTCATGCACCCGGTATCTAGCCAACCGATTCTCAGCGCCTCCTCGCGGTGCGCCTTGGAACTCACGGACCAAGGCGCCTAAGCACCCGAGCAGCACGTTTCTCGCAGCGCGGGAGAGAAATAGGGTGGCAGCAGTAGCGCCCACGATCAATCCGCAGAGCCAGCACAGCAGCCCCACCAAAATGAAGTCGCTGGGATGGCTCGAGCTACACCCAAGCAATCCTAACAAGAAGGGCCACGGGCCGGCCCTCTCAAACATCCGAAAAAGCTGCAAGCACTGCGATCGCTCAAGCAAACCTTGCAAGTCAAGTTCAGTCGGGCTGTCCACCCCGGACGCATCGATTCTGAAGGGGCACCTAACTGAGATTGCAACGAAACTTCTGTTGCAGCATGATCCGCTTGAGGCTTCAATTCCTGTGAGTTTAGAGGTGTCGAATTGCACTGACGTACCTGCCCAAAAAGCAACAAGAAATTGTAAAACCTGTGGAGATGCAACAACTTTCCTCCAGGATGTGTCGAGCCTATCTTGCCTGTGCACGAACACAGCAGAAACCACTGTAGATTCGAGTGACGCATATTGGACTCCTGCACGGCTCGACCCCTGTAAAGCTCATAATCCGCGCCACTCAGTCTGGGAGCAGCATTTCCGAGAGACATACCCCTGAATGACACGAGCCAAGCAGCATCGGTAAAGCGAGGACTCATCCTAGGCTTGCGGACATGCAGCGCCGACAGGCAATGGCTTGGACGTGGTTGCACCGCTCTTCGGGCTAGTCCTCTGCAGAAACAAGATTGAGGCTGCGACCGAACGCCGCCCTTTCCGCGCGGAAGCTCGAGAACACATGCCACAGTCCTGTCAAGCGACATAGGATGCAGTGTGGCAAAGGCTTGGCGGCTTGACATCAAATCTGAGACTTGCAAGGTCAAGTCTGCGCTGATTCATGCCATCTGAATTCGAAGGACCAATGCCCAGCCGCCCTCACCTGGTTGGGTCCAAGCCGAGATCAACCTGGTTGCATGGGGTGCACATTGTACGACACGGTCGCGGAACAAACTGCCAGAGCAGGGTAGCCGGACATCGCCTATATGGCACAGCACAGAAAAACCAAATACGTGGTATAGGGAAAGAGGGGAGATGACCGATATGAGAATTGGGCAATATCACCAATGCTGCTGAGGGGGTTGGCCAGAAACGATCATGGATGCCACAGCCCATCCCATAGATGCCGTTGCAAATCCCGGTTGGTGCTTGGGCCGCAGCGATCTCCTGAAGAAGTATCTGCAGCGGGCTGTGCTTCGCAAGCTTCAACCCAATCAACAAAAGCTTTCCAACATACAACAAACACCCCTGAGACGGAAGGGACAAGAAATGCAATGCAGCAGCTTGCAACAGCCTGCATTTGCAGCCTCCAGTTCGGAAGCAGGGGTAGATGCCAGAGATGCATGCAGTGACGCAGCGGACCGACAAATGGCATGTAAAGACACGGGCAGAGCCTCCATCTTGTTCTTCTCCTGTGTTGGACAGGAGCAGACAGGACGTGAGAGGTCAGACTCGTGACAGATGCCTACTAGTTGAACTCAGGAAAGCCAGGAACTAACAAGCAGGCCCAAGTTGTCACCCCTCCAACCTTCGTGGCTGTCTGCTTCTTCTTTTTGGTGTACCTGGGTGGACAGCCAACACTCCTCTGACAGTTCCCATGAACGAGGTTTGAACTGAGAAGGCGCAACGCCACGATCTCAAACCCTGGAACGACTGTGGCCTTGAAACCTCCCTGAGTCCTTTGGGGCTGCCACACAGTCACCTGCTGGTCTGGAGCGCGAACCTGGCATAGCGAATGTGACACAACCTTGCGACATCATGCAATCCCAACAAGACATCAGGCGCCTTCGTGCCACCTCGCATGAACTGTGGCGTAAAGGCCATGACCAGCAGCGCCTCAGCACCGCCACACCGTAAACAACCATAAAGCAGCGGAATGCTGTGAACTGGCTGCCAGGTCCCGCGTCACTTGCCTGAAGCTAGTGGCTGCTTCCAGTACTTAAATGGGGTCAGCAGCCTACGTATTTGCATCCTTGACAACCGCAACAAACACACACACACACACACTCAAACTCTTGTGCGCGAAGGACAAGTAAGAGCAAGCGATGCAGTCACCCAACATGTCGGTGCAAGACTGGCTCAACAAACTGCCACTTGGAAGTGAATCCTGTAGTAACATCAGTCGCAAGCAGTTGGCCTTCAATTTCCACGCATCGCTGCAAAAGAGGTCCTGGGAGGGCCCACGAGTCACAAGCCATTCTCACTTGTATCATCTTGCGATGGGTTACGTGGATAATCTCCCAACTCTGCGACCGGGCAGCTGTCACCTTTGGCAGCGCCTCCTTGGAACAACGGGACCAGAAAAGAATATAATCATCACTGACGGTTGTATGTGCTCTGTGTCTCTGTGTGTGTGTGTGTGTGTCAGCGCGTCTGCGTGTCTGATTGTCTGTGTGTGAGCGTGTGGGTTTGTGGGTGTGCGGGTGTGTGGCGTTGTGGGTGTGGGTGTTGTGGGTGTGGGTGTTGTGGGTGTTGTGGGTGTTGTGGGTGTTGTGGGTGTTGTGGGTGTTGTGGGTGTTGTGGGTGTTGTGGGTGTTGTGGGTGTTGTGGGTGTTGTGGGTGTTGTGGGTGTTGTGGGTGTTGTGGGTGTTGTGGGTGTTGTGGTTGTGTGTGTTGTGGGTGTTGTGGGTGTTGTGGGTGTTGTGGGTGTTGTGGGTGTTGTGGGTGTTGTGGGTGTTGTGGGTGTTGTGGGTGTTGTGGGTGTTGTGGGTGTTGTGGGTGTTGTGGGTGTTGTGGGGGGCGCGTATGCAGGTTTGTCGCAAAAAAGAGAACCGTGCACAGTTCCGTGCCCAAAATTGCTGTTCCCCGAACCCTCGAATACCCCGTAATGAGCATAGTATTCCTTGCCGCCGTCCACGCCAAGAGGGACGGGGTAAACCCAAATCGAAGCATGCATGCATGACCTGCGGTTGGTCGATGATGTTTGATGCAGTCGCTGTGGACCCTATGTTTTTTGCAAGCGCACGGCTCAACAAACAACGCAATCTGTCGAAACACAGTGCCTCCGCAGCCTCCACAGAGCTGTAGACCCTCTCGCCTGCCTGGCTTGCAGCTGTCGTGAACTTTAAGCTGAACCACGTCGGCTTAAGCTTGGCTCCTGCAGCAGGCTCAGGAGACTCTCGAGCTGCTTGAGGAGAGCGGAGCCCTGAGGTGCGGAGATGAGCTTTCGTCACACAGGTTTCAGAGACACGCGAAGAATCGCCTCGGGAAGGAACTTTTTCATGCGCGTGGCCTCGGAGAGCTGTAGAAGATTCGGGCTTCGGGCAGCTGCACTTCGGGCATCGTCGCAGCGACCAGGGCTCCAACGGTGTCGAGAATTGCCTCTCAGTGACAAGAGGTGTGTGTGTGTGTGTGTGTGTGTGTGTGTGTGTGTGTGTGTGTGTGTGTGTGTGTGTGTGTGTGTGTGTGTGTGTGTGTGTGTGTGTGTGTGTGTGTGTGTGTGTGTGTGTGTGTGTGTGTGTGTGTGTGTGTGTGTGTGTGTGTGTGTGTGTGTGTGGTGTGTGTGTGTGTGTGTGTGTGTGTGTGTGTGTGTGTGTGTGTGTGTGTGTGTGTGTGTGTGTGTGTGTGTGTGTGTGTGTGTGTGTGTGTGTGTGTGTGTGTGTGTGTGTGTGTGTGTGTGTGTGTGTGTGTGTGTGTGTGTGTGTGTGTGTGTGTGTGTGTGTGTGTGTGTGTGTGCATATAGCTGTGAGTGCTTGCACTTCTGCCTTCTATTACAGTCTTTCAGTTGCAACGTGGCGTGCAGTACCGGAGTTCACTCGGCTTACGGAACGACCACCCCGCTGAAAGAATGACCACGATGGCTTTCTGATCTCTCTTACAAGTCAAGTCGCGTTAGCCAAGTTGACCAGGCGCTTGGGCACCACGGCAAACTTCGATGCCATGACTGAGCAGAGCGGACACAACTTTAGATTTTGTGACCGCAAACAACTGGATGCTACATGGGATCTGGGCTGGCTACGTTGTGCGCAGCGCGTGAAGGCGCTACGCGTGGACTCGCGGCCCACGCGCCTCAGGTTGGCTTCGAGACACAGGATGCTACAGTGACGAATCCACGGATCCAGGGCAAGGGCCCACGACGATTGCACTTGTCGATCTGCATCTTCCGGAACTCCAACAGGAAGTGCACAAACCTGGCATCTGCATGCATCGCCGAGCGGCACAAGCGTTCAAAACCATGCGTCCTCAGATTCAGTACTCCCACAAAGAGCTTGCGACATGGTAGCGTTGGGGTGTGGTTTCAAGATGCTTCAAGCGATCGGACTTGCACCCTGGCAGCTTGACGGCCTGAATCTGGAGCTCATGACGGCCCATTCTTGGATCCTTCGCTACTTCTATCTCCCCTAAACCCGTGCCAGGGACAAGTTGCGCAGCATCAGCGGCTCCTGACATCAGGCGAGAAAGCTTCAACAGATCAAGGCAGCGAGGGGCGAGGTCAAAGCGAGCCCAGCGAGCCGACCAGTGGCCATGGTCGAAGTACTTCCTGGACTCGTAGCTTCGGCGCACTGCCTGCACCACAACATCATGTGAATTCGCGCAAGTGCACTTCTGTCCAGCGGCAGGCCTCAGCATATTCTTTGGGATCCTTCATGATGAGGTGCGAGGGCAATGTGAAGGGATCCTGCAGCGGCAAGCGTAAGCCGGAAAATACAGGCAGCTGACATCGTTTAGTCGGCTCTGTGATGAAACGCAATCCTTCTGCTCTCGTCCCATGCAGCTCTGTCACGGCATGTCAAGGCGATAGTTCGCGCACGGAAGTCAGGCCTGAACACTGGCCGCTGCCGCGCACACGACTCCCTCCTCGGGTGACGTCTTCTAGACCGCTTCGGGTGATGTTACCCCAGTTTGTCAGCAACCTGCCAAACCGTGGGTGCGAATCCCCCACTTGCACCCCAAATAGAATAACATGGTATAGCATAGCACGATATGGCAAGGTCTGCCGTGGCATGGCATAACACAACATGACAAAATGCTAAGATACCACACCACAACACAACATAGCGTAGTACAACCTACGAATAATACCATAGCGTAGCCCAGCATAACACAGCAGAACATAACACAGCGTAGCACAACATTGCACAACACAAAATAGCGTGTCATCGCAGATCTTAGCAGAACATAGTATGGCAGTATAGCAGAACAGGACATGTGTCCCAGCAATCTCCGCGCACCCGCATGAACTTCTGGATGCTGATCCTTTTTAATTCGTCGGGTCTCTTGCAAATAGTGTCTGTCGTCGCTGCCCTCGCAACTGCTGTAACTTGTTTCTTGAAGCCTGCATCAAGCCATTCGCTAAACTGTTTTGGTCTGGGTCTGCTCCTCTTGCTGTGCCTCTTGCTGTTGTGAGCCACTGTCTGCCAACATCTTTCGTACATCAATCATGGGGCTTGACGTTGCAACAGCCTAAGTTTGCGAGACTCTTGCACTCATCTGAAGGCAGGTGCCGAGGCGATGTTCAGAGATATTGTTTGCAATGCGAGCAAGTTGAAGAGTCCTTCGGAAATGACAGGTTGCTAAGCCGTCTCCGGAGTCTCCGGCTCAGCAACCCCTGCTCGCTTATGAACTCCCCACCTTGCGCCCAGACCCCCTGTGTCGGAAGGAAAAGCTGAGGTCAGCGGCACACGGCATGCCAAGTAGGGCGCCGAAAATGACCAGGCGGCAGAGCTGAACCTGAAATCAAAGAGGTAGCACAGCATGCCACAAAATCAACTTTCGGAGCTGCTCTCAAGGTCCACCCGTATGATTCAATCCAGTCATGTTTTGCCAAAGCATCAGACGGCGCATTGAATCTTGCGAGAACTGCAAAACAGCACACATGCGCATAGGCCCTTCACATTGACCAGTAGCCGCAAATCCCGAAAGGCAAGGTTCCGACGTCTAGTGGCACAGCCATCATCAAGTACCTGACGCTCTGATCCAAGTTTGGGTACTTCGGGCTGGCTTTTCGAGATGGGGGGTCTCGGTGCTTGCTTTCGGGAATCCAAATGAGCCGTAGGACTGAGGATGCTGACATGGCATTCCGCGACTACACAGCAACATCTCCGGTATTGCGTTGTAGCACCATGGGAAGAGGCAAGTGAGTATCATCGGGCAAGCCGGCAGGCCCCTGACTGCGCTTTTTTCCCCGGACGGCGCACCCGAGGACAGTCAGCTCTGCGGACTCCGAGTCACTTGTCAGCGCTCCGAGCTGGTCCAGGTTCTGACAAGTTCACGCACGATCTTACGACGCTTGCCCGGGATCTGAGGCCGCATGGAGCATGTTTAGAAGCCCGGCCCTTCGTGCTGAATTGGGCAGCTTCCAATCATGTTTGAGTTGAGGTGATTATAGCGTTAATTGACGGGCGATGCAAGCTGCAATCTGTGACCTCAGTGAACGATGGCGCCCCGAAAGGAGTCGAGGTGTCCCGGTTTGTTTCGGCGCAGTTGGGCTGGGTTGTCGTGGGTTGCCATCAATCCACTTGGCTCTCAAGCACGGGATGGCCTGGTGGGTTTACAAGCAAATTTTTCAAGGCCTGGAGAATGCGTGTGCATCATCAGCATCGATGCGAAAACTTGCCGACGTCGTGCTTTCGGCACCTGGACGACACATGACGACATGACCTTGATGTTGAAGTGGGGAGGGCCGACAGCCACAAAGATGAGAAACGCCGTCGCCATGATGCTCATGATGCCGCTCCACAGCGACATTGGGATCCCTGTGGTGGCTCCCTGCCAGGGTCCCTGAAGGCGTGCGCGACACCTTCGGGGAAAACGAGCCCTGTTCGCAAAATATTCGTACTCATGCCTCGTCCCCTCAGATGCTGAGTGCCTCGCATTCCTTATTGGGTGCTTGGGATTGCGTTTCTCTGGCTAGAAAGTCGTGCTCCCTGAGAGACTCTAATGACACCCGGAGAACACAAGCCAGGCTTGCTTGGCTGCAGCGAACTTTGGGCTAAGACTTCTTCTGGCCATTAGCTATTGGCCAATGCATGCTAATGCAGCTGCAACACGCCTAGAGCAAGCTCCAATGGCTCACCAACTCCGAGCATGGCGCTGTGTGCGCTGCCCGCCTCCGGGCGTAGCCTAGCCCCTTAACCCTAAACTTTAAACGGTGAGTCTTAGAAGGCTTCAAATGCTCTGCCACAAGATGCTTCGCATTCTCAATGTCAATCTCCGCGGGCAACTTTACCGAAGTACCGTTGAATGCGCTCGCTTGCCCAGATCTTACCCCACCATCGTAAAACCAGGACTATGCACGAAGACAAGTTGGAACCATGCATGGCCTCGATGGAGCTTGCAATGGCCTGGGCATTTGCCACACAGAATGCTGGCAGCCTTCGACTGAATCTTTGCAGCCACCAACTAAGTCACTCCCCACCCGAGTCAAACTGCTGTCGGGACAAGACATAAGAGCATCCGGTGTTCGAAGACAGGCTCCGGGCGCTTTCCTCTGGTGGCTGGGCTACGAGCATCCTGGCACGAGCGCATGTCTCACGTCTCACGTCCCTTTTCCCCGTTCGGCCATCGAATTAAGTTGCGGATCGGCATTGGTTTGCTCTATGTACGTCTACGAGTCTACGTTAAGACCCTGTCCACACCGAGAGTGTTTTTCAATCCATTCCTCCTCTTGCATGTGCTCAGGTTGACCAGGTTCGCGAGCTTCTCGCACAAGAGGCGCACTGACACAAGCCCCGGCCACTGGTTTTAAGATTTTAAGGAGGGGCAGGAGAGCATGACCTCGGTCATCAGGCATCCCCTTTTCAGCTAATACTTTGCCAAAGGCCGACGTCAGGGAAACCGGCCGAAATCGATCCAAAGAACATGATCTAGTGTGGTTTTTGGATATGTCATGCACCCCCCTAATGGTGTCGGCTGCGCAGGAGCTCCTTTGGAGTGCGCTTGCGGAACTCCGTCGGGGTTACCTCACCGGCTGTCTGACACAGAACTCGTCACTCCTGCGAGGTCTTTGTGCACCCTTGCCCCTGCATGAAGCTACTGCCGTCTGCGAACTGGGCCATCCTGGGTCAAGCTGAAGCTTGCTAGAGCATGTCATGAAGGCCTGGTACGCCGGAAGCTTGGCACTCAAGTGCTTCACCTTTGCATCAAAATGCCGGAGAGTCAAGTCACAGCGAAGATAAGCAACTCTCCCCTAAACCACACAAACCACTTCCGCTTCTGTTTCTCAGCACAGGAATGCAGCAGTGGCAGTCGTCCTTCGAGAAGTTCCCGGCACTCCTAGTCACTACCTAGTCCTACTTCCGAGAATGCCGCCCGAGCCGACTTGAGGGAAGCCTGAAACATGTTCCGAGACCCCTGCATTCACGTAGAGCTTCTCAAGCGGAGCCGTTTGCATCTCCGGAGGATCGAATCTGCCAGGGGCATGTTGACAAAACATCCACGAAAACTCGATCCCAGCTTCCCGCTTCAGCCGCTACCCTAAGAGCCCCACTCATCCATATAGCTGTCGAAGAACTGCTTGGTGTAAAGCCTGATGTTCACCTGAAGAGTGTGAAACTGAACGTCTCTATTTCGGCTCACAGCCATGCGTCCGCTGAGTTTGCTGCTCCTTCAAAGACACGGCCAGTCCGGCCACACCGCTGCTTGGCGGAGGCTTGTGACACCCACGTGGTCACCAAGCAAGACCTGTGGGCTCTTTGCGACTCTATTCCCATGCTCTTGCCAAAATGCAACATCCTCAACCAAGTCTGCGCACATTCGGCACTGAGTCGTTAACATATGTCGCCGCTTGTCATAGATCAGCTGGCGTCTGAGGCCGAAGTCAATGACGACGCGAACCTGCAAGCATTGAGTAGCATTGCAGAGCATTGCGGACAGGTGGATCTTGACACCAAGCCTTGGGGATCGTCAAGGAAGACTCTGCGATGTTGGATGACAGGATGATGTGGGCCCTTGTACGGCGTCAGAGGATCAGGTCGGATTCTTCATGCAAGAATATGCCAGCTGGGCACACAGCACGACTCTGAGAAAGTCTTTCGCGCATCATACGCTCATGTTGCGAGGGTACGCGAGGCTCCGCGCTGCAACTCTTGGGACGGGACGTGTCCGGCGGTGGTGGGTCAAAGACGGCGCCTTCCTGCTCGTCCTGGAGGTTTTGGACCCGAGACTGGTTCTGAGGCTCTGCACTTCCATTGGGTATGGTATATAATAGTGCCGTTCGGACTTGTTGCCGAGATCTTGACATTGAGCTTTAGCGCCAAAGCTTTGCTTTGACACGTCCTTCGGAATCAAGGAATGCAGCACGAAGACCTCGAGGGCAAGTCGGAGCCACAGCCAAAAGACGCCCGGCGACTGCCTTGAAGTGGAGGTCGTTGCGCTCGAGCCCAGGCGACCAGTTCATGTGTGCCTGCAGAGCACTCTGCGTCTCAAAGCGAGTCGGTTTTCGGCGCGACTGGCGAGCCTGCTGATCGACGTCCTCCAAGGGCATTAGCGCCCTGAGGAGGCACGGCACCAAAACGAAGCTCTTCTCCATCGCCCGAATTACGACAAGCAGAGAATGAGCCATCCTTCACTCATCCTGTCTAAAATCCATCGGCTGCAAGAGATCTCAGAAAGACTCGCAATCAATGCGCAAAGATAAGTCAAGCAGCTCTTGCAGCTCACTGATCTCACCGATGCCAGGAAGAAATACCAGAATTCCTCTCCGAGATCAACATGCCAAAGCTCTGTGTTGTGCTGGTGTGCAAACACAAAGGAGCATCCCACAGCACGGGCGCTCGCGCAAGAGTTGCAAGTGGAGCTGTGCTCAGAATGGATGTTGCATAACAAGTGCCACAGCTTGTCGATCTGTTCGTCAAGGACTCGACATGGACTACGACCAGCGACTTAATCTGAACCCGCGAGCCTTCTCCAGGTTGCGCAACACGCAGGATCAGCTCGTAAACCAGGGTGTCCAGACCTGGATTCATCATGGCGCAGGGGTCGTTCACACCGCTGTGGGAGCTTGCCTCGAATGATGTTCGGTGACACCTGGCGTGCGGACCAGAGACCCGGAGACCCAGTCACCAGCCCTCCTTACCCGACTTTAAGGCCTCCTTGCGCCGCCGCTTCGGAGCTGCCATCGCCTCGCTGGCAGAGCTCTCGGTACTGCTCTGGCCAGGGCTGCAGATCTAGCAAACGGCAAAATGTGGCTGTCTCGTACCAGACCATCATGCCCCGCTGACTCAACCTGGAAACCTTAAGCACATGCAAGAAAACAGAAGCCAGTGCGAAGGCTTCTCCTTGGCCACCGCTGCCGTCTCCTCGGTGGAGAAGTCGGAGTCACCCGACCTGCAAGACTGCTTGCAAGCAGACTTTACATTGAGACACACTTGCTGAATTTCAACTGTTCGGACTCTATGCACATCACGTGGCTCTGCAAGATCTAAGACCCTCTGCAACACGGCATCTCACCATCGCTATAGCATTCAACATGCATCTTAATCGCTAGATAACAGCTTCATCAGATTCTTGAAAGGCTTTGGAAAGCTCTACCTGCAGAGGCTCTAAGGTGGTGGCTCGTCATCTGAGTCGGAGTCAAACTCCCCCTTTACTTTCACATTTTCCTGGCGTGCAGGCTTTGGGTTCGAGATGGAACGCGGGGGCACCCGAAGCTGTCAGCACCGTGAAGACCCGAGACACCGCCAGCAAAGGAATCAAGCGTTTGCACAGCGCTCCTCTTCCCAACCTTCCGCCTCTCTGCCGCCCGTGCCGAAGGCACGCTCGGCATCCTTGATTGCCTTACTTCGCGCTTCTGCAAGCAGGACTCAAAAAGTGCGTGACTGGACATACTACACTCCAGCTATGCACTCCCTTTACTTCCACCAAAAGTTGCCGCTGGCGGATGTGATGGCTTGCAGAACTTGTCCGCACTTGGGCCACGACCCGATAGGCATTGCCGGCAAATGGCGCCTGCTAAGGAGTAGGATCGCTGGGCAAGTCGTGCTTCCAGCGTCGGAGGGCAACAGGAACCCTTTGCAATGCGACCGATCGCAAAGGCATCTTATGGCTCACAATGTTCGGGATTCTGGAAGAGTGTTGAGAGGAAAGTCTTCATCATAGGGAACTCAGCCAGAGATGATTCCGGTCAGCGATAGACCTGACCTTGGTAAAGGGGGCCAGTGCTGCCGTCCATGATCAAGACAAGAGCACATGCCTTGGTTTCGTAGAACACCCTTTCGTGCGCCCAGAGTCCTGTACCAGGAAGATGCCTTCCTGGCAACTCTATTCCACCGTGGAGCCTTGCTCCTGGCCCTTGGCTCTAAGTTCCTTTGAGCGATGCCTGCGACCTGAACTGTGGCACCTGACAGTTTTAGGGTTTCGGCACTCACTGCGACAGTATAGGAGAAAAGGCTCCTCAATTGGCAGGCACTTCGCAGCCCGGTGAAACAGTCTCTGAGCAGAAGGCTCGGCTTGGTCGAGGCTTGCTGCCCGTATGGCGATTGCCATGCACATGGCGATTGCTGCATGGACCCCAGAAGGTCTTCGGCCAAAGAGGATCCGAGCATGCACTGCATGCACGCGCAACCTGGACTGCTCTTCTCATGCAAGTCATTGTGCTGGTGACTGTGTCGGGATGCAAACTGCAGTTCAGGCTGCCTCAGTGAATTTCGAGTACATTGCCTCGCCAGCCGCATCAAAGGATGGGCAGGTGGATGAGAGGCTGCTGGCCTTTGGCTGCGGTTTTGCGGGACCGGAGACTTGCTCCACCCTAGCGCCATCAGAAGAAGACTTGAAGCCACATTCAAGGCCACCAGCAGACTATGCACATTCTGACGAAGTTTGGGCCGTGAGGCCTTTGCTCCTGCTGCGGTCTGCCCCTCGGCATGAAGGCTTGCAGCCATTATTCTGATCTGCGCAGGCGCGAAACTTGTTCTTATCTGCGAGCGTCCCGCAGGGAGCATCATATACTCATGTACCGGGAGCTTGTCCGCTAGTCCCCGGGGCAAAGGCCCGGGGCGGTTTTTGGTAGCCTTTCCACCACACTCTCCGTCACGGAGAAGCTTTCGGCTTCGGAGAGTGAGATCTCGCTCAAGCCTCGATCTGGCACAGCGAACGGCTGGCATCCCGGAAGGGTCCGAGGGTGTTTGGTTGTGACTACTCACTACTCGAAGAAGATGAAGTTCTGAGTGGAAAGAAAAAGCGCTTCTCAACCTGGCTCTGGAACCCAGGGGGCAATGTCGAACAGCTCTGTTCAGCAGCCAAGGGCTGGCGATCCCTTCGCCTGAGTCCGTCGGAGGTAACAACCACATGATGCAGGAGACGGGCGAGTCTTTCGTGCGGGCCAGCTGCTGCGCTTGCTTCCGGGCATGTCGTCTGGCTCACTGCCATGGACGCTTTGCGAGACGCTTGCTGGCACACTCAACGGCAAGCTCTGGATGTCAAAGCCTGGGCTCTGGCAAGGCGTGTGCACTTCGGACGAAACAGCAGTGCCAATGCCGCCACAGCACCGACATCCACTTTGCCTTCCGTGCTCTGGAGTCTTTTGCCTCGGAGGTCTCAGTGGCATTAAGAGGCCTCCCCGGTAAGAGGCTTCTATCTCAGCACCCGGCGTCTCATCAACTCAGTGACACGGAACCACTCCTCAGAGAAACCCCCAGCTACTGAAATGATGCGCTAGTTGGTCGTTGGCAAGCCCCAGAAGTGCTACAAGTGCCAGTATGACCTGAGGTCCGGGAGTGCACACCAACAGTGGCTTCAGATGCAGCCCCTGCAAGAGCCCAACCAGTCTCTGCAAAGGCTCTTCTGCCACAATGGATGGCAAGTCCTCCAAGTGCATGCCTCAGTCGCAGCATGCTGTGAGTCCAGAACTAGTAGCTAACAAACTCCCCCTTCCCCTTGTCATCTCGATTATGCCTTTCTGAGTTGGATGGTCGACCTTTCACGCAGATTCGTAGTCCTTCATCAACAGCAGCCGAAGTGCTCTTGAGCTCGAGCTGATGCTCAGCCTCCGTGCGCCTGGAAAGTCAACAGTGGTGGACTTACAGGCGCGTGTAGCTGCTATCGCCGGGACCGGTGTGGTTCCAAAAGATGTGAGGGCCCGCAACAGATCTATTGGCTCTAAGCGAACACATCCATAAGCAAGCGCCACCACATCTGTCTCTACGAAGTCGAGACTGCGAAAGGCCTGGCGAACTCGGCCTCCAAAACCTGCAGCCAAGAGGGTGGAAAAAGACCAGACAAATTTATGTGTAGCAAAGCAAGGCCTTTCGAACGTTCTCCAGCTCCTTCGTCAAGTTGGCGATCTCCTCTTCTGCCTTGGACTCAGAAGCCAAAAGGCGACATGGACCCAAATTTGCAGGCGACATGCCGTTCAGAGTGCCAGGTTGGCATGTCATTACTCAATCAAAATCCCCGTGCTGCTCGGCACAGTGACAGCGACAGTATGACCACGTTTGGCCCGTCAGTCAACAAACAGCGGAGCCTTCAGCAGGTCCGTTCTCAGCAGTCGCTCGCGCTCTGCCGCTTCTTCGCGCTGTGCACAGAGTTCTTTGGTGCGGGCCTGGCGGCAGTGAAGTTGAGTCATTGAGCCCTTCGAGGTCCGAGTTCAGAAGACACTCCAGATCGGCCTGCAATGCAGCGACTCGGCCTCAAGCACACACGCCAATCGAGCGTAACTCCACACCAAGAGAAGTCTCAAAGAAACCAGCACTGGATCTAACAGAAAACTTGGGAGTTTGAACGTGGAATTGCTCTCTTTACGATTCTGTCTCGGATGGCATTGTTTGTATCCGGCCCACTGAGCTTGTTGCCGCCATCGCGAGGAATCAAAGAAGGTGTCGGTGCCTTCTGACAACCTGTAGCCTGTGAATCGGGAATCTTTGAAGCACCACCTGCAGACGTACTATGCGCAACACTGCCACTTTAGGCCGAGTCGGCTTGAGTGCAGACACCTGTAATGTGGTCACGTGAAGCCCGTTGCAAGGCATCTTCCTCCGGCCTTCGGCTCTTTCAAAGGAGCCTGACGCCTGGACCTCGGAGTGAAAAGAAACGGGCAAACGCTCTCCGCATGGCAGAGCATAGGCCTGGCGCCCAGCTGTCACACAAGAACTGCTTGGGTCCCTGCATTCTCGTCGGAGAGCCCACGCGACCGCCTCCACCCACCGTGTTGGAGGTAGTGGTCGAACCTGAAAAAGGTTCCCAAAGCAAACTAACAACATGCGACAGGGGTCAACCCGGGAAATGTAGCCACTGCCCAGCATGGACAGCCAGACACTGTGGAAAACTGAAAATCGCTGGGGACCGCTGCGGAAATTTTCCCATGGTCCACGCGAGCTCTTTGGGCGGCGCAGCTCCTCGCTCGACATACAACAAGCACTCGTGATGCAGACTTTGAACCCGTGCAGCTAAGGCAATTCCAACGAAGATTCCTTTGATGCTGTACTGAGCATCACGCCGGCGGACAAACTAGCATCAAGGGTGCAAGACCCAATTCAAGTATCCAAACCCACGCTCGAACGGAAAGATGGTGCTGGCACGAGTTTTGTGGCTAAGAAGTAGCCCTCTTGAGCGCTTAAAGCTACATGATTAGAAAATGGAAGTTGGAACACATAGTCTTTCTACACCATCACCATACTTCATTCTGAAGGTAGTGGCAAGAAGCTCAAGGCTTGCGCAAGCAGGCATCATCAACCGTCCGAGAACGAAGCTCAAAGCCAATCTAATGACCTGCCGGATTCTTGTCCTTCTTAGGCGCGCCGGATCCATCAAGACCTCTGACCGGCATCAAAACGGCAGGGGGTACCGGTGATCTCGAATGGGACGAAGTGTTTGCACTAGGAACACCCTTCCTGATCGCAAGTGGTCCGCTCCTTGCCTGTTGGATTGAGCAGAAGGCAGGCTGAATGATGTCAAAACTCCTAGAAAGCACCGAAGTGCTGCGGTGACATGGTGCAGTCCAGCCACCCAAATATTCAGGCGGCTGCACCTGAGCAGTGAAACACGCCCAGTTGCTTTGAACAGCTTTGATTTGGCGCTTTCATACAAAACACAGAAATTGCAGAGCCCGCCACCTCGTTCCAGGCAATCCGAAGCATGACCTCCACTCGGTGCCTAAAGCTGTCCGGCAGGTAAAATGCATTTGCACAGATGCACGAGTCGGAACTGCAGAATCAGCAAACGACAATTACTTGTACCACGAAATTAACAACAGCACCAAGGCTCGAGGTTTCCTCCACTCCGCGAAAGGGGTCTCAAACGGCTTCGGACCCCGTTTGAGTCCAACAACAAACCAATCAAAAAGCAAGCACTTGAGAAAGAGTGGCCAGTTTGCCATTTGCTCACTGGTGTCTTTCAACTTCGGTGGCCTGGCGGCAGATACTGCCATAACCCCACCATGCTCTCACCTTTCATTGCATTTAAACATTCTACCATTGCTTTAACCCGGTAAGTAAATAATGAAGTTCGCACGGCTCACAATGTTCCTGTACGTGTTTGCCTTCTTCTCATATCCCTGCTATTTCCAACATGGAAGGAACCTCTCGGAATGGCGCTGTCCCTCACACACACACGCACTCACTCACTCACACACACACACACACTGACTGATTCGGCCAAGAGCACGAGTGCAAGAGGAAAAAGAGAGGCCTGTTGTATTTGTTGCAAGTACTTGTCAGATTGCGGCAAACGCGCAAGGCTGTGTGTTCAAGCAAATGATGTGGAAAACTGTAAATGCACTAATCTTGCTGCCTCAGGGGGCCAGCGTTTTCTAATCTTGCTGCCTCAGGGGGCTCAGCTCGCAGGTACAAGAGGATGATCAGTCCTCTCCTCCCATGTCACTGGTAGCTTCGTTGGACACAGTCCCAGCGACATGCTGTGTCCCCCTGCAAATGTTATGGTGTTTGTCCACATGTGTTTCGTTGAAAATACTGTGAAAATGCAAGCGGTAAGGAGTGACCCTCTGCTCCCATGTGCTAGGGAGGTTCACACACACACAGCCCCTGTTGGGGCTGAATATTGCTGTTGGATGTGGATAGCATGAAGCAGTCGGAAGAAAAGGACGCTCTTTTCTCGCCGTCAGCAACGTCCGGGTGCCTGTCGCAATTCCTGATCGGAAATTGTCCTAACGAAAAGCACGGGCAACAAAGTAGCCAAAGTAGTGACCGAATCCCAATCATGTAATCGTCGTCGGTTTTGTTCGAAGAAGAATGCAGAAATTTCTGGTACTCTTCCGGTAATCTCCTTAATGCGATAGGAGAAGATCTTACGTGCTTGAAGCACGTTGTCGCCAAGACAAAGCACCACGTGTATGGACATATGTTTGTCCCTGGTGATGCGGTCAGGTGGTATTTCAACCGTCATCCGGAAACACTGAGCTCGCATAGAATACCATGGAAGGCCTGCTTCACTGGTCTTTCGCTTTGGCATGGTGTGGACTGGGTGGCTGCTACTACCTGAAAAATGCTTCGACAAGTCGGGCAAACAAGCATAAGGTGAAGCAAGGGAGAGAGAGAGTGTCACAACGATGTGTGGAAATGCATCTGTTTTTTCTGCACAGCTTCGGGCCTTGGTGCTCCAAGGTCTCACGGAAATTGTCACGGTCCTATGGCTGACCTGGAGGGACATTCGCTCAGCACCTTGAAATGACAACGGCATCTGTATCCCGCTCGTACGAGCATCTTAGCAGTTAGCACAAGCAGTCTTAGAACGTTTGTACATAATAGGTGGATGCACCATGTCGTAAGGTGCAATGGAATCTGAAGACCAAGGCTCACGAGAAGGTGAGCGGTAACGGTCATCAACTCTGTTTGATGTTGCCGTAGGTGAAGCTGATGACGTAGAGCGCGGAGAGGGTGTTCTTCTTCGCCTTGTTGTCTTCCGCTGTCTGTGACGTTGTTTCCGTGTAGGTGATGCTGAAGACGCAGTAGTAAGTGGTTGCTTGCGTTTCTTGTCTTTCTTCTTCTTGGTCTTTTGATCAGCGAGTTTGAGTTTCTTGGGCTTCTTGTGGCTGGATGAGCATTTGGCTGTAGAGCCAGTTGTTGTTGTTCTGTCAATAGTAGTCGGCGTTGTTGTACCGCCGCTTGCATTGATTGCCAAGTTGTTGCTTGAAGTCGACTGATGCTGTGAGGCGTCCTTTGTAAGGAAGGCCTCTGGTTCGTCGGATCCCCAAGAGCTGATGTCGTCACCTTCCTGTTGTGATGCCATAGCAACTGCATGTGTATGAGTGAACAGATGGCTGCGGAAGGCAACCGAAAACATGTGTTGTGTGATTTAGTCGCAATGTAAGTCAAATGCCAACATGGAACAATTGCAAAGCGGATTGTTTGCTGATGCTCTTAATGAGGGTTCCACATCTTCCCTTGAGTAGATGTGCAAGTACAGCTTTGCTGTGTAAGGTGACTGCTGTAAGCAGCAAATGTGCAATGAATTATCAACTCAGTCTGGTACTCATGGAGTGCGAGATCTCTTTCTCTTGTTGGAAGTAGGTGTGGTGGTGTCGGATTCCACCTCCTGCGTAGTGGTGCCGGAGATGTTGCACGTCGATCTTGTGCCTGTGAGTGGTTGCGAATCCACTCCTGGGAGGCGATAAAATATTCTCGCCACCATGAAGAGCCGTTAGTGGCCCAATGCCATCTCCATTCCGCTGCGCGTGGAGATCTGGATCGAGTGCGTCGCTCCATAATGGTATCAAAACGAGCTGGTCTTAAATAGCTGCGGTCAACATTGTATGAATGTTCACGCTCAATGTGCAATGCAAAAGATGTGCAGCATTCAAACTGCATCATGTAGTGCAAGCAACATGTTTTTGTTTCGCACAGTAGTAGATTAATCCTGTGCTGCATGTTGATCAACAGTCTTTACTGTTGAATCAGAGCTTCGAGTTTGTCAGCTCGATCTTTCAATTCTGCAATTTGTTGAGTTGTTTGCAGAATAAACTCGGCCAGCTGATCACGGAATGTCTCGTCGCTGAACATAGAGCCTTCACTGTTGTTCTCAGAGTCGTGCTCTCGATGTTCCGTCAAAATCTCGAAGAAAGCCTGGCTGAGAGCTTCTCGACGTGCTTCCTGACTGTCTGTAGTTGTGGTCTGTGTCGGATTGGATGCATCGCTCATGGCTTCCAAATGGAAGACTGATGAGTAGCTGGCTACAATCAGAACTGTTGCTGGAGCACTTGTGGTTGCAAATGCAAGACAGAAATAAACCAATGTGCAGCGGCTACAACAACATACATGAAGAAGTGCGTCTTTTCGTGATCTGGTGTTCTCATCCACACCTAGGACCAGTCTGGCGTGTTCTGCCTTAGCAGACTCTCGAGAATATCGAGTTGCTGTTTACACGAAGCCATGATTGCGGTAGTGGCTTCATGTTGAGTCGTCAAAACTGTCGTGGCTTGTTGTATCAAGCGTTCGAGCTTGTCATTCGACTCAAGCAACGAATTGTGAAACTGATGCAGTAAATTAATAATCTCAGTGGTACTTGTTGTCCCCGGTGGTGCTCCAGGAGGAGTCGCTGGTCCGGGAACGTGAGGCTGACCGAGTTCTTCAGGATCTTCCATTGAATCCTGATGTTGTTGATCATCTTGTTGGTCTTCCTCCTGCTGTTCTGCCACCCGCAGTATCTGAGAGCGGAGTGCAACTGTCGGCGGATCCGTGCTGCATGTGGATGGTTGGTAGCGTCCGCGTTTGTTTTGCTTGGAGAAAGCCGACTGGGGAGGTCGGATTCCGAGCGCTTTGTGCCGAGGCTGCAATCTGCCCGTCATGGCACTTTTGTACATGTTGGAAATGCAAAACACTGAAAACGGCTGCGGTACAGCTCAGCTGTAAGGTGCAAATGCGTAGTGCTTGATGCAACATGAATGCAACTCCGAGCGACGGTGCCTGCTGTTTTTCTTACAGCTGTCGATCCTTGTAGCCGGCCGCAATGTACAAATCGCGCATGGCTTGAATGGCATGTTTGGCTTCATTGCTGGGTGTGGTCACCCGTCGGATCATACGGGTGCGTGCCTCATAGCTGCTTCGTAGTGTTGCGCTGGAGGTGGCCGCTTGTGGATGTAAAATGTCGGCCTGATGTAGGTTGCACTGGTAAGTGAGGCTGCTGTGTTGTGGGTTTACAGCGAAGCCCAGGAAAACATCTGCCGGTTCAGTTTCAAGCTGGACCGGTGGTTTGTAAAAGGTTGCAGCTGTGAGCTGTACAAAAGGAGGTAGTCGTGTCAAGTGCTTTGGTAAGAGAAGGACACGGTTGTCAACGTATCTTGTTGCAAAAAAGATTGCGTGATCTTTGTGTGTGGTGCTGGGGAAGTGTTTGTGATTGGTAAAAAGTTGCTTGTAGGTGTGGTGCCAACACTGTTCTTCAACTGCTACAACTATGTTGCATAAGGCTGGGCTGCATGGTGACCCCATAGGTGCTCCACGAAATTGTTCGATGAGAGTTGTGCCCACCGTAAAGTAGTTGAGCATCAAAACTGCAGTGATGAGCTGTGGCATGTGTTGGAGCTGAATACACAGCTTGTTGCCTGATGATGCTTCTTGTTGTTTTTGTCTGCTTTTGCCACGGTGAACTCGATGTGTGGGATCTTTCTGCGAGTGATCGATGTAGAATTTGCTGGAGTGTAGTGGATTTTTCTCTCGGTACCATCGGGAGAGAATGCTGTAGGCCGAGAGAAACCGGCTTTTGTCGACTGATGTGAAAAACCCCGCCAGGTCCTGATTGTATAGGACGTATTCTGTTGTGTCGTGTAGTTTTTGCTTCTGCTGGAGAAAGCGTGCTGTTTGTTGTAATTGGGTGATGCCGTCGCCCTGGTGAAAAGAATCGGGACATGCCTGATGGGTCATCAGCTGTAGCACGTCTGCTAGGGCTTCCCAAAGTTTTCTGCCCATAGTGTCAATAAAAGCTACTATCGGGCGTCCTTTTGAGAACTGTTTTTTGCGCTTGGGTAAGATGTAAGCGCGTGGGATGCGTCCCCACTGCGGGAAAGCCCATGTGTAAGCAGGTAAGAGAGCGCAGATGTCCGTGTAGACATCAAAATGGTGCTGTAGTGGCAGGTGTGGTGAGATCTTAAAGATCTCTTTGTCGAGAAATGTTTTATGGATGGCACTGT